GGTGAGGACCTGAGAGTGAGCCGGACGGAACCACCGGACACGGGAGAACAGTGGTAGAACGGGCAAGAACTGGGCCCCCTGAGGGGTCAGCCAGTCTGACAGCAACAGGTGCAGGGAGTGGTGTGACTGTGGTACTATCGCGAAAGAAACCGCGGGAAGCACCTGAGTCGAGCGTGAAAGTGTGCAAGGCCTCAACAGGCGCAGTACCAGAGAGAGCAGACTCACTAGCACCTAGAGCAGCAGCCTCTATACCTGGGTCGGGCGGCACACACAAGTAACAGTCACCTTCAGCACTAACAGTGAATGCATACATGGCAGTAAGGATGGCGTCATAGTCTAGCGCAAAGACATCGACACCCTGCCTAAGCAGCTCTAGCCAGCGGGGGAGCTCAGCCGCGTCGCCAAAATGTGCACGCCAGGTGTCGCTCAGACAGGAAAAGCAGCGGGACTGTGTGTGGCCAGGTGTCCCGCATGTCTGACCAGCCTGATCACCTGTGCGAATGACGTATTAGCAGCGAGCACTACTCAAAGACCCCCCACACTGAGCGTACCACTCACGAAGCTGCTGGGGCGTAAGGGTCTCGCGCGGACGCGGCTGCAGCTGCACCAGGCCACTGCCAGAAACTCCCAACCGACTAGCTGCACCGCGACTGCCACTACGGCCGCCGCCACGACACCTACGGACGTACCACTCACGAAGCTGCTGGGGCGTAAGGGTCTCGCTCGAACGTCGCTGCAGCTGCATCTGGCCACCGCCAGAAACTCCCCACCGAACAGCTCCAAATGACCGCTACTGAGGCCGCCACCACTCCCACTGCTGCCGCCACCATTCCCACTGCTGCCGCCACCACTCCCACTGCTGCCGCCACCGCCGCCACCACTCCCACCGCTGCCGTGAAGGGAATTCATGCGACCAGCAGGGCAGCACGCAGGGCAGGAAGGGCGGCGAGGAGGCACTAGGGTAGGTCGGGGCAGTGCACGGTCAGGGCAGGGCGGTGCGCGGTCAGAGCAGGGCGGTGCGCGGCCAGAGTAGGGCGGCGCGCGGCCAAAGCAGGGCGGCGCGCGGCCAGAGCAGGGCGGCGTGCGGCCAGAGCAGGGTGGCGCACGGCCAGGGCAGGGCGGCGCGCGGCCAGAGCAGGGCAGTAGCAGGCAGCAGCAGGCAGTAGCTCCTAGGGCAGAAGCACCTAGGGCCTTTTTTTTTTTTTTTTAATAATTTTATTTAGGGTTTAGCAGGGCGCTGGCGCAGGGCAGGGCGCTGGCGCAGGGCAGGGCGCCAGCCCGCGCACGGCAGGGCACTGGCGCAGGGCAGGGCGCTGGCGCAATGCAGGGCGCTGGCGCACAGGAGGGCGCTGGCACAGGGCAGGGCGCCAGCGTGCGCAGGGCAGGGCGCTAGCGCAGGGCAGGGCGCTGGCGCAAGGCAGGGCGCTGGCGCAGGGCAGGGCACGGGCGCAGGGCAGGGCGCTGGCGCAGGGTAGGGCGCCAGCGCGCGCAGGGCAGGGCGCTGACGCACGGGCTGCGGCAGTGCGTGACTCGAGGGGCAGCAGGGCGCGACGCGCAGGCTGCAGTAGGGCGCGACGCGCGGGGCAGCAGGGCGCGACGCGCGGGCTGCAGCAGGGCGCGACGCGCGGGGCAGCAGGGCGCGACGCGCGGGCTGCAGCAGGGCGCGACGCGCGGGGCAGCAGGGCGCGACGCGTGGGCTGCAGCAGAGCGCGACGCGCGGGACAGCAGAGCGCGCCGCGCGGGCTGCAGCAGGGCGTGACGCGCAGGGCAGCAGGGCGCGGGGCAGGGCAGGGCGTGCACGGGGCAGCGCGACGCGGGGCAGGGCAGGGCGTGCGCAGGGCAGCGCGACGCGAGGCAGGGCAGGGCGTGCACGGGGCAGCGCGACGCAAGGCAGGGCAGGGCGTGCGCGGGTTAGCGCGACGCGGGGCAGAGCAGGGCGTGCGCGGTAACCGCAGTCGGTCACTAGGTAATGGTGGGCCCGAAAAAAAAAAACGGTCCTACGGACCTACTACTCTGAAACCATGTCAGAATCTAACGGGCAGGAAATAGATAAACTAGCAGCAAGATGGGTACAAGTAGGAAACCCTAATTGGGTTGTACCCCATATGGGCTACCCCACTATAGCCTACACAATACGCAGCATATGAGTTTGACAAACCTGCCGTGCGGCCCAATAAGGTCGTCATGCGCTGCCAGGCAGGAGCATCTCGACCGAACCCTCTAGAAGGGGGTAGAATATGCCCTGCCAGCGCAGCATGGATGGTGCCATGATCCCTCCTCTGCGGGTTCAGGCAGAGGGGCAACCCTCGTTCATTGACGAGGACCTTGAGGCGCCATGCCGAAGGGGTCCCCTTCAATCTTTCATTTCTTGCATCTTTCATCCAGTTTTTCATTCAGTTTCTCGTTCTTTCCCGCCAGGCTGCGGAAGCCATGGCGGAATTCACCGGCACCCATTTCTTGTTTAAGAAGAAGCCTACCTCTAGGCCCGCGTTTAGAGTTGACGCTGACGGGTGGTATTCCCGTATCCCACCAGAGCCACCACAACCTCCTGCGCCTCCTACGCCACCTGCTCCTCCTGCGCCTCCTGCTCCTCCTGCTCCTCCCGTTCCTCCGTCTCCTATGTATCCCGTGCATCCTGTGGTCACGGGCAATCAGCCCGTGCTCACGCTCCTTCTCCCTTCGGCGTTCGACGAGTACCACTCTGAACCGGATTGCGACAAGCCTCAAGATGAGTATGTAGCAACTCCGGCCCCGGCACCACGATGGGGACAGCCCGATGACTGCAACTGGGATAAATCTGCTGTAGGCGCAGACGACGAGGTGGCTGACGCCGAGGAGGAGTGGCACACTGAGCGCGACACCGGTGGCGAGGGTGGTACGGAGGGTGGCACCGAGGCCGGCACCGCTGAGAATGTGTTTCCCGAGGGTGCTCCGGGCGGCGACGATGACGATGGCGTCGAGTATTGGTCACGCGACGGGCTTCCCGAGAAGCTCCCGATACCCTCTTTCCCTCCGCTTAATCGCAAGCGACCACACCCTACTTCACAGAACCGTGGTGCCCGCCCCCCCTCTCCCAGGCACAAGATGAACGAGCACAAGCGTCAGGCCTACACCGCCGCCGAGAAGTTGAAGTGGGTCGCGCGGCTTGATGTTGCAGTCTCGGTGCGATCTTTGGCTCGTGAGAGCGGCATCCATCGCAAATGTCTCTCTAACTGGAAGCGCTCTGCAGAATTCCTCAAAGAGGTATGCTCTGCCCGTAAGCGCATGCATGGTCGAGGGCGAGCGTCGTGGTACCGGCCGATGGAGCTGAAGGTCTACGAGAGGCTCCTCGAGTGGCGTCGCAAAGGAACCGCTGTATCCGTCGGCCGCCTGCAGGAATGGTCTCGTGAATTCATGAAGGAACTCTTCCCCGCCGAGAAGTGGAAGGGGAGCCAACGGTGGTGTGAGCGCTTTCGGTGCCGATGGAATCTCAGCGTGCGCATGAAGACGCGGGTTGCACAGAAAACCGTGGCCCGTAAGATGTCGTGTTTTTTTTATTCTTTTGTACTGCGCCGTTTCTTTTTACTAACCCGTTCTTGTTGTGTCTCCCCATCGTCTGCCCTGTCACAGATGTCGCGGAGTAGTGCATGAACTTCTGGCGCTTTGTCCGTGAAAAGCGTCGTGAGCGCGGCATCGACACCGCGTGGATCATCAACACGGACCAGACACCGCTCTGGCTGGAGATGCCCGCCACCACCACCGTGGACCAAACCGGCGTTCGGTCGGTGCCGATCAGAAGCGCGGGGTACCAGAAGGAGAGAGTTACCGTGATGCTCGCGTGCACGGCGGACGGGGTGAAGCTCAAGCCCAGGGTGTTTTTCAAGCGGAAGGCCGTGCCGAAGGGCGATTTCCCCCCGGATAAGTCGTGGTGATTGTTGTTGTGCCCAATTCTGTTTTTTCCGTTTAATCGACTGACGAACTGTGTTCATCTACGCCTGTGCAGATGTGGTCGTGGCGTGCCATGAGAACGGGTGGATGGACGCCGAGGGCGTCATCCGATGGCTTTGAGGAGTGCGTCAAGCCTTTCCTGAAGCCTCGGTTCGGCAGGTGTGCGAAGAGCTCCATGCTGGTGCTGGATTCCTACCGTGGTCACCTTACCGAGGGGGTGAAGGAGAAGTTCCGCGAGCTCAACTGCGTGCCGGCGGTCATCCCGTCGGGGTGCACGGCGGAGGTGCAGCCCCTCGACGTCTCTATCAACAAAAGCTCCAAAGCTTCAGTACTCCAGCAGTACCAAAAGTGGTTTCAAGAAGAGGGGCAGGAGCAGCTGACAGCAGCATGTACGTTGTAAGCTACGGTAGATGCATATGCATGTTTATCCACCCCTCCTCCCCTTTGCAACGCTAACTCTGTCCATGTTGTTATTGTCCGTGCAGGGAATCTCAAGAAGCCCCCCCCAGCAGTGGTCCTGCGATGGGTCTTTCGGGCATGGAAGGCCGTGCCCGCCGACCTCATCAAGCGCGCCTTCTTCACTTGTGGCATTAGCAACGCGCTTGACGGCAGCGAGGACGGCCTCGCGATGGCGCACAGGCGGACCCAGCTGACCGCGGAAGTGGATGTCGACGACGACATCATCACCGATGGCTTCTTTGGCAACAACTGCCAGGAGCCCGAGTCTGACGAGGAGCAGTAGGAACGGTAGTTGGTTCATTGGTAGGAAGGCCTTTGTAAAGGCCTGTTCATTGAGTTCAAAGTACCATACCGTAGATGGATGTAATTGTTGGTGCTAAACTTATAATGGAATTTTTTGTGATGTTAGTTAGTTTTTAATTGAAAAAAATGAATGTTTTAAAGTAGGCGCTTATAATAAGTACGGGTACAAAATGGGATGCGCCTATAATCGAGGAACGGCCATAAGTGCCATACGGTACGGTACCCTACATTCCAATACATACTAGTTGTTCTGCACATCATGATACCAAGCTATCGGAAATAATGCCTCTTCTACCACCAGCAATACATCCTCAAGCCTTGAGGGCAAACCCCAGCCCCTCTCCTGCCAGAGCCTCTAGGCTCCCAACAGCAGGCTGCTCCTGAGCCGCCTTGGCAATCGCTTTGTTCTCCTCCGCGCTCCCTCCCTCCAAAAACGCGCCAACCACCTTGCCGTCCTTCACCCAGTACGCGCCGAACTTCGCCGCCCCTTCGCCGGCCGCCTTGCCGTCCGTGAGCCCGTAGTGCACGGCGTCGCCCACGTTGTCCCCGTAGAACTGCCAGGAGAGGTCGAAGGAGCGCGAGTAGAAGTAGGGCAGGTACGCATAGTCCGCCACCTGCTCCCCCGCCTCCGCTGCCTTGATTGCCTGGTGGGATGTGGGATGGAAGTTGGAGCAGGAAGGGGGGTCGGGTTGGGTCCCTCTGCTGAGCGGAGGTATGGCAGGTAGGCGTAGTCCACTACCTGCTCCCCTGCTTCTGCCGCCTTGATTGCCTGGTGGAGTGTGGGGGAGAGGTGGTGGGTGGGTGGGATTGGAGGGTGGGACATATGGAGTGAGGGAGGGGAGTGAGGAAGGGAGTGGGGGTGTGAGGTCCCCCGCTGCGTTAATAGAAGCTGGGAGCAGAGGCACACCATCATCATACACTATATGCTGTCCTCATACTGGTGATGAGCAGTGCATGGAGCATGAATTTGTTGCTCCATATGCTGTCCTCTCCTCATACTCCACCACCACTGCTTGTGCACTGCTTATCACCAGCATATAGGTACCTTCTAAGCCTGCCCCACTGGCTTCCTGGCCACATTCTTCACACGCCGGCTAATTCATCGTCACACTTCATGATAGGGAATGCCTCTTCAGACCACTCAAAGCTCACCTCACCACATACATGACTGAAACACACACACACGCACCTTCACTGCCTGCTGCACTGACTTCCTTGCATGATCCACATGCTCCACGCGCCTCTCATCGCCATACTTAGGCCCGTTACATCCATGCATTCACGCCACTAAGGACAAACATACCTTCACAGCCTGCTGCACTGACTTCCTGGCGTGATCCACATGCTCCACGCGCCTCTCATCGCCATACTTGATCATGGGGAATGTGGCCACATCTCCCACGGCATACACGCCTGGGGCGCTGGAGAGGAAGCGAGCATCCACCTGCGGGAGGGGAGGAGAGGGGGAACGAGAGGCAAGAGGGAGTTAGGAACGTATGAGTTGCCTGGGAGCATGGGGAATGTGGCCACATCGCCCACGGCATACACGCCTGGGGCGCTGGAGAGGAACCGAGCATCCACCTGCGGGAGGGGAAAGAAGAGGACGGGAGAGAATAGGCGGGGGTACGGCGGGGAAATGAGTGGGCGGCTAAGAGAATGTGGCCACATCGCCGACTGCATACACGCCTGGGGCTGGAAAGGAAGTGAGCATCCGCGTGCGGGAGGGAGGGAGAGGGAGAGGTAGGTAGAGGAACGGGGGAGCAATGCGAGGATTTGGCCTCCAATCCCGTCACCCTTATTACACCTTGCTCAGCCCCTCTCAATGCTTCCCCCGCCCCCACCCACCCACCTTGATCCCGCCCTTGTCGAAGGCGAGCTGGTCTTTGAACAGCCCCACGTTGGGCCGGGCGCCCACACCCACCACCACCAGATCCGCCTCCAGAGTCTCCCCGCTCTTGAGAGTCACACTCTTCACGTGCCCCTCCTCGTTGGCTGTGAAGGCCGTGGCGACCGTGCCCTTCACAATGGTGACGCCCTTGGCCTCGTAGTACCCCTCGTAGAACGCCGCCAGGGTCGGGGTGAAGAGACGCGGCACTGTAAGAAGGAGACGAATGGGGAGAGAGAGGGATAGGGTGAGAAGGAGACGGGATGAGTATGCATGGGAGCAGTGAGTGTTTCACCCTTGGCCTCGTTTTAGCCCTCGTAGAACGCGGTGAGGGTGGGGGTGAAGGGGCACCGGCACCGGAAGGGGGGAGGTGGGGGGGAGGGAAGAAGGGAAGAGGGGAATGAAAAAGGATTAGGGTCGGGGAAGGGATGTGGATGGTGACGACGCCCTTGGCCTCGCAGAACGCGGCGAGGGTCGGGGTGAAGAGGCGAGGCACTGGAACGGAAGGGTGGAGGAAAGGCAGAGAGGGCGAGAGAGAGATCGAGAGGCAAGAGGCAAGGGCGAGAGGGGAAGGGCGAGATGGTGCAGACGCCAAGAGGGCGAGGGGAGGCAGAGGGGAGAAATCGGGGTCTAATGGCTTACTGCAGAAGGGCTCGGGGAAGACCATGGTGGCCTTGATATCGTTCATGGCGAGGATGGCCGCGAGCTCGAGCCCGATGTACCCGCCACCCACCACCACGGCCTTGCATCTTGAAAGGCATGTGTAACGGGGTACAGTGGCTTACTGCAGAAGGGCTCGGGGAAGACCATGGTGGCCTTGATATCATTCATGGCGAGGATAGCCGCGAGCTCGAGTCCGATGTACCCAGAGAGAGGTGGAGAGGAGGAGAGGGGAAGGGGGCGAAAGGCAGAGAGCGAGAGGGGAGATAGAGCGTGAGAGAGGGCGGAAGAGCTATGGAGGGATTTACGGGCTGTGGCTTACTGCAGAAGGGCTCGGGGAAGACCATGGTGGCCTTGATATCATTCATGGCGAGGATAGCTGCAAGCTCGAGCCCAATGTACCCGCCACCCACCACCACGGCCTTGCCTCTTGAGAGGCACGACTAATGGCTTACGGGTTACAGTGGCTTACTGCAGAAGGGCTCGGGGAAGACCATGGTGGCCTTGATATCGTTCATGGCGAGGATGGCCGCGAGCTCGAGCCCGATGTACCCGCCGCCCACCACCACGGCCTTGCCGCCCTTCTTGGCCTGGATGGCGGCGTACAGCTCGTCCGCCTCTTTGATCTCCCGCAGGTAGTAGATGCCCTTGGCGTCCGCGCCTGGCGTCTTGAAGTCCGTCAGCTTGATGGTCTGGAAGGGAGGGGTGCATGGAAGGGAGCATAAGAGGCGTACTACCACCACCACGGCCTCGTCCGCCTCCTTGATCTCCCGCAGGTTTTAATTGTCCTTGGCGTCCGCCCCTGGCGTCTTGAAGTGCGAGCAACCGCGTGGGTGAGGGGGTGGGAGCGGTGAGCAGCGTATGAGGAGTATTACTTCTGTCACGGCTCTGCCCTGCCCTGCCACCCTGGCTGTGTGCCCGCGCACGTGCACTCACGAGGGGGAGAGCCTTGGCTGTCGAATTACTCACATCGGCGCCAGTGGCGATGATGAGGTTGGTGAACGCGGTGGTATCGCCAGAGGCGGTTAAGAGCTTCTTGCAGAGTCGTCTGGTCCGGGCATTGGGCAAGGGATTTCTCAGGCGTTCCTTAAGGGGGGGAAGTCACTCACATCGGCGCCGGTGGCAATGATGAGGTTGGTGAAGGCGATGGTGTCGCCCGACGCAGTGGAGAGCTTCTTGTTCGCCACGTCAGCAGACACCACCTCCGTGTTCAGAATGAGCTCGATGCCTGCGGTTGTGCGGGCGAGGGCGCGTGCGAGAGCACGAGAGGGGGGATAGGAGGAGAGAGAGTTGGAGAGAGAGGAGGGCGGGGAGAGGCAAACGGAAGGGGACTAATGGGTGCACTGTGCACCCATCCCAGTAGGCTCCTCGTGCGAGTAATTATATTTTCTTTTGCACAAATAGAGAAATCTGGCCAGCATTTTTTAGTTCATGGGAGGTCGGTTTTCCACTGGATTTCTGGCAAGAATCTCCGCATTTTGATTGCATGAAGTCCCTTGAAACACACACCTCGAGTTGCTCGCCGCTTAAAACTAGTCTTCACGTTTTCCCCCTCCCATGTCTTTTCCCTGGCGACGCACCTTTTTCCGAATACCATTCGGGGGTCAGCCGTTCCCCTCCGCCACCCACGCATGTGTGGAACCCAGGCAGTCGCGCAGGCGCTGCAACGGGGAAAGTAGGTAAACAAATAAATAAACAAACGGAAAGCTTGGTGCATTGCACGCGCAGGCAGCAGCGAATTGAGTATTTGTCGTAAAGTTGAAGGATTTGAAAAACAGACAAGGAATTGCGAGATGACTGGAGGAGGGCGACAGGGAAAAGGATGAGATGAAGGGAAAGATGAAAAGGAAGCGCGAGCGAGAGGACTGACGTACATTGAGGAAAGAGGTAGCCTTTGCTCAACGCAGGTCGCTCGTAGGGAGCCACCTGCAAGTTCACGGAAGAGAAAGAAGACGGCGGCACGTGAGATTACTGGAAATGCGACATCTTGACAGTAATGTGCAGGACCTGAAACCGGCCTATCCAGGCAAGCAGTTAAAACAAAACCAGGAAAAAGTAGAAATCGCATACCGCCTCTCGCGACACGATGGCAAGCTCGCCAGCCTTCAGGCCCTGCTTCGCGAACTCTGCTGCTCCATACCCCTGAGAATATAGAGAAACGAAACCTCAGTGAGCTAGCTGGAAAAGGATGCAGCAGAAACACTTCGCACGTGAAAACGAGTCAATTCGAACTGATTCCGCCAAAAGCTGCAAGCTTTCTGGCAATTTGTTTCGACGGATTCCTGAAATTTCGGATCTGCTTACCGCAGCAACGCCGCCTCCGAGGATGACATACTTGAAGGACTTCTCAGCCATGCTGGCTTGCAGAACCCTCGCGAGAGATACGAGCCTTCGCGTGGCGAGCGTTGCCTGCGCAATCGTGCCTGAATGAACGCGAAAATGTACTTCTGAGCGAGTCCCACGGTAAGTGTGAGCTGCTTAGAGGCGGTAAGCAGATGAGTTACCGTTGGTGAAAATGGAAATCAAGAACCTGGGAATTGGGCAACATTGGGAATGGTTGGGCCAGCTTTGTAGGAAAGCGAGGCTGAGGGTGGGATATGGCTAATCTCGAGAATGTCACTGGCGGCATTGGGATTTCCGTGCAGCTGAAACTGGAGATATATTTCGCATGACGGTTGCGAGACAGGTAACCACGTTGTCGCGACCGAACGATCCGTCGGCGATGTTCCTTCCAGAACCAAGCGGGGTTCCAGGAAGGTTATTTCAATGGATGACTGGACTCTCAACAGCTTATCACAACTCGCCACGTCAGTTTGAAGTACGAAAAAACTTTAGACGTGGCGACCACCGACCACAGGTCGATCATCATAAAACACCCGCCTTGCGACGGAGAACTGGCGAAGTGTTGCCTAATGTAACATGTCAACAATGGTGCTGAAATCGCATGGGATTGTCGACATCAGGCACGAGTCGGAGGCAGCAGTGTGTGGCTCGCGAAATTTTCCTTCGATTTCGCACCACAGCCGAATCTGTCAATTATCGCTCGCCAATCAGCGTCCATCTCTAAACCTCTCTCCACGTCAGACTCAGGACTGATCTCTCATGTCTATCTCTCGCATACAGTCACAGCACGTCACATTCAGATACACTCCTTGGTATCACACCCCTATGATCACATTCCGCCAAATATGCTGTTTCTCCTTTCCCTTTCCAGCATAACAACAAGCCCAACACCACATCCCTGGCTCAAATCAAAACCGCATTTTCAACGTTGATCAACATTCCCAACTTCCGTGGAGACTCGGGAGAGATTCTACCTCAGCAGGCTTGACAACGCTCGCTTGATAATCTCTCTCCTCGCCATGGCGTTCGCTTCCGCCGCTTCTATCGCCGTGGCACCCGCTGCCACGGTCGCCTGCGTTTCGGCCAAGAGCTCATCGCGAGCAGCTCCCAGCACTGCCGCTCTAGCAGTTCCGCTTTCCACGTCCTTTCGCGGGCTCCAGGTCGCTTCGACGAAGAAATCCGCTCGGGTTACCCTCCAGCCGCTTCGCAGCAACGTTCGAGCCAACGGTGAGTGGGCCCCAGTCGATAATTGGCCCCGTGCTTGTTGAACCACTGCTGATTCAGCATGCCAGCGCTGCGCAGCGATTGATGATGCCAACGATGGTTGATCATGCCAGCGGGGATTGAACCGATGTCAATCGGTTACGCCAAAGTTTGTTGAACGCAAGGCAATCAGCTCTGCACCCTTGTCCTCGCGCACCTCATTATCTCTCTGAGGAGAGGTTGATTCCCCTCAAAGCTCGCTTCCAACGATGTGTATATCAATCCCTCTCTCCTCACACACTGCACAGCTTATTCATTCCATCCGAGAGGTTGATTCGACTCTCTTCCTGTGCTCTCTGCCCTGCACTTTGCTCTCTGTGCTTTGTGCTCTCCGCCCTGTGCTGTGCCCTGCACTCGGTGCCGTGTGGTCCTGCAGTGGTGACGGAGCCAGCGACCAAGATCAACTTCCCAGTCACTTTAGCGGCCCCCGGCGGCTCCAAGGACCTCTCGCTGCTGGGAACTGGTGAGTGCTGCAGCCCGCAGGAGCCCTAGGTGCCTTGTGCCCTGTGCTCTGCGCCCTGCACGCTGTGCAGTGGTGGCTGAGCCGGCCTCTAAGATCAACTTCCCAGTCACTCTAGCGGCCCCCGGTGGCTCCAAAGACCTCTCACTGCTGGGAACTGGTGAGTGCTGCACCCTTTAGGAGACGTGGGGGCAGGAGCTTGAGGCTGGGGAAACAAGCAGAGAGGCGAGGTGCCAGGCAGGGGTACCACAAGAGCACATGATGATTCCCCACATATAGAAGCAGTTGTGTAAGACTGTTTAAGTTCCCAAACGCTTGCTGCATATGCTGTTTCTTGCTTTCTCCGTGAAACGGTGACCTTTCCTGTTCGGAATCGCCTCATGCTCCTGCGCCTTCTCCCGCTGCTGCTTCTTCTGCTGCTAATCGCAGGGGTGGGGGAGAAGAAGCTGGGGCCCCTGGCGGTGAAGGTGTATGGAGTGGGCGTGTATCCTGAACCACAGCTGCTGGATGTGCTGGCAAGCTGGAAGGGCAAGCCTGCCGACCTTAGAGTCAACTCAAAAGACAATTCTGTGTTCTTCTGCTGCTGCTTGCAGGGGTGCGGGAGAAGAAGCTTGGGCCGCTGGCAGTGAAGGTATATGGAGTGGGCGTGTATGCTGAGCCGCGGCTGCTGGATGTGCTGGCGGGCTGGAAGGGCAAGGCTGCAGACAAAGCTTTCTATGATGCCATCGCCTCCAGTACGTCCCGCCCATTCCCACGCATCGTTACTGCTCACCTCTCAATATCGTTCTGCACTTGGTACTCGCTCCAGTGAATTCTCTCAATCGCAGTGGCGCCTCTGCCCCTGCCGATCGGCCTGTCACCTCACTTTGCTGCCGCCTCCCTCGCATTGACAGTGTACCTCGTTTGCACTCTTCTGACTTACATCTCCCGTCTGCTGGTCCTTGCAGCGCCGTGTGAGAAGTCCATTGTCATCGTGTTGGCACGCAACGTGGGGTCAGACCAGTTCTGGAACGCCCTCACAGAGGAGCTCGCCCCGCGCCTCACAGCAGCTGGCGAGGGCCTGGGTGACTTGGAGGCTTTTGGACAGCTCTTCAAGGAGAGGTCGCTTAAGAAGAACACTGGGGTGTACATCACCTGGCGCCAGCCGTCTACACTGCAGGTATGCTCTCTAAGCTTTGGTCAACAACCTTGAATCAAACAGTTCATGCATCCGGCGGTGTTCCCTTATTACATACATTACTGATGCCTTTTTGGTTTTCCCGTCTGTTCACAATTCAGGTGGCATTTGCTGATGATGTGACTGCTGGAGGAGCTCCCTCTGCAGCTTCTGCCACTTTTGAGTCGCCTGGACTTCTTGCTGCCCTCTTTGACATCTATCTGGGTGGGGAGCCTGTGTCACCATCTTTGGTGCAGAGCATTGCTGCAAATGCACAGTAAATTGCCCACATATGTTGTACTAGTGTTTATACTAATAAAGAGTTGAGGCTGGTTATGGCGTCTAGATTTGCTTCCTGAAATAAAGTTGCTGCATGAAGAAATTATGACAGCCTTTCATTGGCTCTCAATATATTTTTTACAGACTACAATATAGTACAGAGAACGGAACATGTGGTATCGAGACCCAACCTGCTTCACTTCAAACCGAACTTCGTGGAGCAGCCTCAACACGACCTTGATTTCCGCCACATAACTCCACTACACATCGAGGAATCGCAGCAAGGGGAACGAGATCCCTTCTCAAACCAGGTGGAACGAATCCTGTTGGCAGGCGTCAGAGGTCGCGAACGACATTAGTGACTGGAGCGTTACGTTGCCCGTTCAAGACGCTTCGGAGTACGCATCTGACGCTGTCGCCGAATCCGCAGTTTCAGCTGCAGAAGCTTTCCGCTACCAGATCCTGAGCAACATGAATCCCGAATAGTGCGTCCCCTGCGTTATCGCTTTGCAGTTGGGAGCTGTCCATTGTCATGTCTAGTACCGTGACTCTAAGACTGTATTTCCGCTGTCGCTGCTGATGCAGTGATTACTTGTTCAAGTTGTTGCTGATTGGTGATTCTGGTGTCGGAAAGTCTTGCCTCCTTCTACGATTCGCGGTAATATTCTTAGACAGGGTGAATTCGTAGTTTCCATGGGGGAACTATGCTGCTATGCATCATCCACGCTAAGAACGTCTTGTTGCGTTGCAGGACGATTCCTACCTTGAAAGCTACATCAGTACAATCGGAGTGGACTTTGTAAGCTCAGGGTGATTGTTCTAACAATTTCAGCAGGATGGCGTCATAAACATTTCCTGACAGTTGTCCGCACTGCCTTTTTCAGAAAATCCGTACTGTCGAGCTCGACGGCAAGACTATCAAGCTTCAAATTGTGAGTGGCTTTGTGGATTAGCTTTGCACTCTTTGCGCTCTGGCGTGTCTTATGGAAACTGAGGGTTGCTGCGTGTGGCTGTAACAGTGGGATACCGCAGGTCAGGAGCGTTTCAGAACGATCACAAGTAGTTACTACCGCGGTGCTCACGGCATCATCGTGAGTGGCGGTTGCCATTTCGTTCCTAGCACGCATTGGGTCCACCCATTGTTGTCGAAGATGGTATGAACCTTACTGGATTGTCCCTGCAGGTTGTTTACGACGTCACAGATCAGGAAAGCTTCAATAACGTGAAGCAATGGTTAAATGAGATTGACCGTTACGCCAGCGAGAACGTTAACAAGCTCTTGGTCGGAAACAAATGCGACTTGACAAACAAAAGGGTTGTGGACTACCAGACTGCCAAGGTAAGCAATGCGTGAGACGCTTTAGTGCACCAATTTCGCAGCCCAAAAACTGCACCATTTGCCAGCGGGCTCTTACTTTCCTCTTGTCCTTTGCAGGCCTTCGCAGACGAGATTGGCATTCCTTTCCTAGAGACGAGTGCGAAGAACGCCACAAACGTAGAGCAGGCTTTCATGACCATGGCTGCTGAGATCAAGAACAGGTATGGATTGATATTGTTGTTAATATTTTGATTTGGTTGTTACATTTCAACCTCACAGTGCTGTTTGTGGATGTGGTTGCAGGATGGCGAGTCAGCCAGCCCTGGGCAACAAAGGTGGTGGTCAGACTGTGCGTCCCGGGGAAAGCAGGCCCTTGCAACAGAACAGCAATTGCTGCTAGTCTTTTGAGAACATTGGTGCCATGTTTGGACTAGCTATTAGATTGGAAGCACATCTTCAGAAGGTTGAGTGGGCGCATCTGGTGGAGTCGGGTTCCTTCTGCGCTGCATTGCTGTCCTGTTGGGGTGGACTTGCAGCAGTCAATGCACAATATTACTGTATCTCATGCCATTTGTTTTAACACAGCTGTGTTACGTTGTGTAGTAAGTGATACAGTTCTCCTTTGTTGTACGTGTAAACTCTATTGCGTACAGAACTAGCCTGGAAAGTGATTGGACCTAGAAGTTGCTAGAAGCGTGCAAAAACATTTCGCGCCAATTTATGGGGGGTGTGTCAGGTTCACCAGAGTTCATGGGGGTGGCAAAACCGAGCCAAGCAGCCAGATACAAGTGCGACGCTGCAGAAACGTTGTAATATCTTGAAGTAGAAATAGCAGCATTTGGCTTCTCTTAGCGAGACCAGCTGTTTCTTCGCAAGACTGTCAGGTTCGACGCACACCAAGGCATATTACGGGGAGTGCCTTGCAGAGAGCACTTAGTGCTGTGCCGCCGTGTTCGGCTCTGCCCTGGGACCAGGCATCGCCTCGCCTCGTTGCTGTGCTCTACCATCAAGGCAAGCTCACTCATTCTAAATTCCCAATGTTCCATCACATTGAAACTTTTTTGCTTGACTTCGACGCCACTCCACACCTTTTCAACTTCCTATGTCGTGTATTGTCTGACGTCGGCGACATTGACAAAAACCGCTCAAGACATCTCGCAATCGTTAGCCTGCGCTGCTTGATCAGCAACAAGAGGTTTGAGCCGTGAGCTACGGTAATTCATCCGTGTATGCAATAGTCGGCGTATTGCTACGCTAACGTAACAGTTCACCGCTGATGATGTTGGCTGAACATTGTTCTAGGCGTATGCGTTACTCATGTTGTATCAGCTGACTAGCTAGCCGCAGCCATGGCTATGGGCGTCACTTGTTTCAGAGGTAAGATGAACGGACTTGAGGCGTCTAAACTCTATCCGTGAACGGAAACGTTATTTACTTTTCGACAGAACGAGGTCTTATAGAGAAGCAAAGATCTAAAACTTTTTAGCTAACAATACATATGTTCCAGTGTGCTGGCGTCCCGCCCTACCCTTGCTCCCCACGCAAGGTTCTCTACCTTATACAAGCTTATACAATTGTTACAAATCTAATTTAATTAGACGAAGTTGCTATGTTGGGAGTACTTATAGCTCCCAACGTATGGTTGAATGGCTGCCTCTTGGGAGCGCTTGGACCTTTGCCGCCATCACTTGATTGTTTCATGCCATCAAGTGACCTCGCCCGCTGTGTGGAAAGGCATTTGCCATGAGACGTTTCCAAAACAAGCCTCCTTGGAGCACTTGGAATCCAAAAGCTTGCTTGCTCATGCTAACAGTCGGCGCGAGTACACTCGCTTGCTGTGGGTGAGGAGGGCAAAGGAAGGGCGGACATCGGGGGGATGGCGAGGGAAGAGGAGGGAGGAGATGGGAGACACATGGTTGAGTTGTGGAGGCAGGTCAACGGGGGAGGCGGGGACAAAAGGGGCACAGGGAAGCACAAGGTGTGTATGTATGAGGCACATGCAAGGAGCACACGACTTGCACATGTACACAGGTGATCATTACACAGCTTAAACGTGAAAGGTACAGGTGAGAGAAGAACGCGGACAGACATACACGGAGGTAGATGCAATGTTGCCGGTACCACCAGTACCAACGGTAGCATCAGCAGCACCATCAGCATCAGCCACATCCACACTCGCAGCAGCAGCAGCAGCAGGCTGGTCTGGTAACTGGTCTCCGACTGCGAGTGAGTGAGCAGGCTCAAGGAGATCATCTTCTGTGGTAGTCGCAGTAGCTGTGGATGTGACACCAGCAGAAGCAGCAGCAGCACGTTTGATACTTGCAGAGGCAAGGAAAGCAGCACCCCATCCTCCTGTTGCTCCTCCTACCGTTCCTCCTCTTCCTGCTGCTGGTACTGCTGGACCTCCTGCTGCCCCATCTCCTGCTCCCCCTCCTTCTCCTGATAAGGACAAACCTTTGCCATGGACCACAGACGATTCGGTACGCTCTGCCGCTGAAGTGATGGGAGCAAGACCAGGCACAGCATCAGTCAATGCAACAGCAGCAGAAGCAGCGTTTACAGCTGAGTCCGTAGCTGCACCTGCTGCTGAAGCTGTGGTGGTGGTTGTACTTGTAGCAATGGCTGCAGCTGTGGCTGTGGCGGTGGGTGTCAAGGTAGCTGTAGCTGTGTGAGTGTCCTGTGGGCTTTGAGCACTCCCAGTCACGTTGTCTCTGTGCATGTGCTCTCTCCGCTGGTCTTCCCCACTCTTCCTTGACTCCTTTCTGCTGAGACCATTGCTGCTGCTGAAACTCCAAGCCCCACTCTTGCTTCCGCTCCCACTCCCACTCCCACCCCCGCTCCCTCCCTCACTCCCACTCCCACTCCCACTCGTGCCACTGCCAGTCGCACGTGTCCTGTCGCTGCCAATGCGATGCAGGAACCGTCGCACGATCAGTCGTCGAGGCCCTTTCCCCTCTGCTGCACCACTGCTTGCCTCCTTGCTGGTTGCCTGCAAGGAGGCAGGCTGCGGCTGCGGCTGCGGCTGTGGCTGCAGCAGTGCTGTTTGAGTCGACTCAAGAGGCCCGCTGTTTGCTGTGGCTCTTGACAACGGCGGAGATCCGGCGTGGGGGTTACTGGAGACTCGCTCACTTGCGATTCTTCTGAGGAAGATTTTAGATCCTGACCGTACCTCAGAAGGACCCTCCCTCAACGACCCTCCTGGTTTTGGTTCTTGCATGTGCTGGTCTCTGCTGCTGCTGATGCTCCTGCTGCGTCCAAAGCAGCTGACGATACCTGCTGAGTCAGCGCCGGTCTCGCCAGCAAAGCAGCTGAGACGGCCTGCTGAGTCAGCACCGCCCTCGCCAGAAAAGCAGCTGATGGGCAGACGTGGCAAGTGTGGGTGCGAGGAATGGGGATGGGACGAGCGGTTGGTCTTGGTGTCAGCACCAACATGTGAGGAATGAGTGTCATCTTGCTGGGATGGGCTGCTGGAGTGACTGATCTCTGCAGGCTCGCGTTCCCCTGCACTATCCCTTGCTTCCCCATTCGCCATCGTCACTCCTGCTCCACTCTCTCCATCCCTTTGTACCTCCTCTCCATCCTTCTTCACCGCTTCGTCCCTCTGCTCCGTATCATCCATCTGCCTGGTTTTCTCCATCTGCGTCCTCTCCCCTTCCCCCTCCCCCTCCCCTTGCCCCTCCCCTTGCCCCTCCCCCTCCCCTTGCCCCTCCCCTTGCCCCTCCCCCTCCCCTTGCCCCTCCCCTTCCCCCTCCCCCTCCCCTTCTGGTGGAACAAGGGCTGACTGCCCTGCCGCATGACTCGCCTCCCCGTCCTGCTTGCTGCCTGCCTCTTGGATAACCTTGGCCTCTGGTAGTGACGCTTTCTGCTGGGTTCGTAGAAGCGATGGCTCTTGAGACGTCTCAAAAATCTCCTCCTGTCTCCTGCCTGCCTCTTGGATAACCTGGGCCTCTGGTAGTGCCGCTTGTGACGCTTCCTGCTGGGTATGTAAAAGCGATGGCTCTTGAGACATCCCTATAATCTCCTCCTGCTTGCCGCCTGCTTTTTGGATAACCTGGGCCTCCGAGAGTGACGCCTGTGACCCTTCCTGCTGGGTTTGCTGAAGCGATACCTCTTGGTGATTTTGTGCAGGAGATGTTTCGTGGGGGGCAGACGTAGAGTCAGCTACGCCACCATCACCGGCTGTAGCCTCAGCGGGAGCATCAGGGGGAGCATCAGCAGGAGCAGCAGCAGGAGCAGCAGTAGGAACAGCAGCAATTGGCAAGAGGGATGGTGAGTCGTGCTGACCCTCCTGGTTGCTAGCTTCCGCAGGAGGATCAGCAGCACTGCCTGCTGCCGCTGTGCCTCTTGCCTGCTCTCCCTGAGATGACCATTGTGTCGACTCAGAAGTTACCTCGTTCTGAGTTGACTCACAAGTCACCTGGTTGCTAGATTCCCCAGGGGGATCAGCAGCACTGCCTGCTGTACCACTCGCCTGCTCCTCCTCCTGAGATGACTCTTGATTAGACTCTAAAGTAGCAACACTATTGGCAGCAGCAGCAGCAGCAGCAGCACCATCGGCAACAGCACCACTATCAGTAGCCGCAGCAGCAGCAGTAGCAGCAGCAGCCAGACTAACAGCAACAGCACTATCAGCACCCAAAGCGCTGTCACCAGCAGCTCTACTACTATCGCCGTCAGCAGCAGCAGCAGCAGCAGCAGCAGCAGCATGAGCTGATTCTGTGCTCCCGTCTGCACTCTCCCCAGCATCAAGCCTTCTCTCTGCAGCAGCTATACCAGCTCTATCGCCCTCGCCCGATCCCTCGTCTGCCCCTTTTCCCCCATCACCATCAGCCGATTTCAAACGGTCATCCGCCGGCTTCCCCCCGTCATCCATCCGTTTCCCCCCATCGCCATCGGCCCATCGAAGCCATTTCCCCAGGGGCCTGGTGGACAGCGACCGGTGCATTGCCGGCTGGTGAGAGGCGTGGGGGGAGGCGTGGCGGGTGGCATGGTGGATGGAGTCGTGCTTGGTAGTGTGGCGGGAGAAGGAGAGGGAGCGCAGCTGCAGGTGGGGGATAAGCGAGGGGAAGTGCGGGTGCGGGCGGGAGGAGGTGCGGGCGTGTGGTGGAGCACGGGTGGTGGGGACGGGAATGGAATCGGAGGAGGGTGTGGGAGTCACAGTGGGATCAGATGAGGGAGTGGCAGTGATATCAGTGCCTGTACTGGCATCTGTGCTGCTCATAGCTGCAGTGCTGGCATCTGTGGTTGTATCTACACTCATGGTTGCTGCAAGTGATGTTTCTGCTGCTTTTCCTGTTGAATTCACGGGCATGTGGGACTGGGCTAGTAGCTGGGGTAGCAGCTGGGGCAGATCAGCCGCCCCTTGCCCTTGAAATGAAAGCAGCAGCAGCTGCTTCAGTGCCTCGTTCTCCCGCCTCACCTCACCCACCTCTCTCATCAGTTCACTTTCGCTCATCACACCTCCCTCCACTCCCTCCCCTCCCATTCTCCGTGCCCCTCCTGGTTCCCCCAATCCACCCACCTCTCTCGCCTCCTCTACCCCACCGACCCCGTCGCCTTCCGCATCTCCCTCCGCCCTCCCCTCTCCCTGTGCCTGCCTGGGCTGCGCCTGCCCTTGCTGCGCCTGCCTTTGGAGTGCCTGCCCTTGCTGCGCCTGCCCTTGCTGCGCCTGCCCTTGCTGCGCATGCCTTTGGAGTGCCTGCCTCTGCTGTGCGACTCGTGCCTCTATAGCCGCCATTGTTGACACACACTCCACCATCGCCCACTCCAACTTAATATCCCCTCCGCCCCCCTTCCCCCCATGCGCGCCTCCCTCCCCCTCCCCGTCCCGCTCCCCCTCTGCTCTCGTCCGCCCATCCCTTGGCGCCTCGAGCATGTGCTGGACACGCTTTAGACACGTCAGCAGCGCGCCGACAGCTTTTTGAGCCGACGCGAGTCGCTGTTCCAGCTGTCGTCTCTCCGCCGCTTCTTCCGCGAGCCGCCCTTCTAGCGCGTTTCCCGGCGGAGGGGCGGGAAACGCGCTGTTTGTCGGATCTTCAACTGCCGCCTTCCTGTAACCTTCTAGTCCATCCTCGATATAAACCTCGTAACCTAGCTCCGCCATTCGCGCCGCCCTTTGCGCTGCGTCGTCGATCGCCAAAATAACCCACAGCAGATGCATGTCCTCGCTGAACGCGTCCACGTCATTCTCGTCCACGTCAGCGTCCACGTAAGCATCCACCTGTACACCCACGTCCCCTACCCCACTTCCTTCGCCGTCGACGGCCCAGATCCCGTCGCGCTCTGCCGCCTCCGTTATAATCACATGCTCCCCTTCTTCCGTTACTGTCACATGCCCCTTCTGTTCCGCGTTCCCCATTTCTTCGACCGTCCCCGGTCGTCGGTGATAGAAACGAACGTATTGTGTTCTTAAATCTGATTGGTGCGCGAATTTCTCATCTCCGACTCCGCGACAAAGGAATGTGACTTCTAATCGAAGTTGGTGAAATGTGGAGGTGAGACGAGGCGGTCAACGCGGTCAACGCTTTGCGAAACTACTACGAAAGGAGGCAATCTTCGAAAGTCCCACTTTACCAAAGGAGGTGCTAAAAGCTAAGTCGGAGACGGCACTTCGCAACGTAAAGTCGAGAATACGAATTGTTTACCTGTCGTTACGACCTAGGTGGGATGGGAGTGTTATGCGTTGCACGAGGGTGTGGTGGTTGCGGGGAAATAGATCGCAGTGTGGCTTTTCTGCTGCGACGTGCATTGTCACGACGACTTCGGGGAGCTAGTGAATCGGGTGGGTGCATTTGTCGTCATTCGCGAACATGGGCGAAGGTAGACCCAAGATTCATCCTCGCTGCAAGTCGGACTCGACGCTATGCAAATTGTGTACAAGTGCTACTGAGTTAAATTATAATGTGGGGGGCTACAGAAGTAGTACAGCTACCGGGTTACCAATATGGCAGATTCGTCATGATAAAGAGGATTCATCCCAGCATTATGTATAACCAATTCGATTTCATCTCGCGATCTCTCACCCTTTTCAAACGCATAGTGCCCACCTGAACCCGTTTATGCCCCCCGGAATCCAGATTTTTCTGGATTTGAAGTTCAAAACTTCCTTCTGCAAAGCTTTTACCGCGTCTGGATCAGCGGCCTGGATTTCATCCGAGTGCGCTTGCGGTTACGTCCCCGCGTCTATCTCGTCCCTTTGGTGCAATCTGCGCGTCGCGTCGTAGCCTCATTGCACTAGTGACAGCTTGCTAGGCGCATGGATTTCCTGTGAAACATGTCGCTGCCGCTGCAGCCATTATTGCGAGAGTAATCCACGGAACAGCAGCAGCGTATGTGGGGTAGTGCGACCGCCGGTATCGCGAGAGGAGAAAAAAATCCCGGCGCTGCAACGTTTGCTATAATTCATCTTTCGTCTGGGAGTTTAGCTGAAGTGTCACATTGGCAGTAGCGCAAACTCGGCCGTAGCGCAAACTCGGCCGTACCGCAAACTCGGTTGTAGCGTAAACTCAGTTGTAGCGTCGAATTCGGCTGTAGCAGTCAAGGCGATGGTGTCCCAGCCAATCGGATCGCAGTCGGGCCACATTTCGCGGGAGGAGCGCGAGCAGGCGATAGGCGCGGTGATGCGCCACGTGCTATTCAAGCACAGCAGCCACCCGGGTGTGCCTATATCGAGGGAGGAGCTCAATAAAGTCATCTCCGCGCAGCTGGCCGGGAGGCGCGTGACGGGGCTGCCGGGTGTGATTATAAAGGAGGCTCAGGCGCGGTTCCCGGCGGCGCTGGGATTCGATATGAGGGAGCTTGAAAGAGGGACACGGGGAAGAGGGGCAGGCGGAGGGGGAGGGGGACATGACGGGGATGAGGCAGGGGGAAGGGGAGGAGAGGACGGGGGGGACGGGGGGGACGGGGGAGGAGGTAGGGGAGGAGGGGGAGGGGGAGGGGCGAAGGAGTATGTGTTACAGAGCCGGTTACCAGCGGCGGTGCTGTCGCGATTCGTGGACACCCCAGAGCAGGCAGCAGGCAGTGCGTTCACCACTGTGGTGTGTGCGTTGATCAAAGGCGCTGGAGGGAGCATCCCCGCAGGTGCGCATATGTGGAGTGTCTTTCGAGTCAACTCGTGAGTCAGAGCAGGCAGCTGGCAGTGGCGTGCGCTCCGTTGTGAACAACCGTGGTGTGCGCTCTTATAAAGGGAGCCGGAGGCATCCCGGCAGGTGCGGATTTGTGATGGTGTTTTTTTTAGCCAATCAAGAAGCACCTCTGTGACTCAGGCAGTAGGCAGCGCGTTCACCTCTCTCTGTGTATGCACAGGTATCAAAATCGACTCCAGAACAGGCAGCAGGCACCACATCGTTTCCTGCTGCTCCCCTCTCAACCACCCTTTTTCCGCTCCCCCTCTCGCCTCGCTTCCCAACTTCCCCCCCCCCTCTCTCCCTCGTTCAGAGAAGCTGTGGGCGCTGCTGGGAGCAATGGGGGTGCGGCGGTGGGAGGAGAGGCACCCCCAGTTTGGGAACGTGGAGGAGAGCCTAAAGCGCATGGAGAAACAGAGGTACGGATGGGGGGGCGATTGGGGGAAGGAGGAGGAAGGAACGAGAGTGAGAGGGGAGCGTGAGGGAAACTACGCTCCTTTTCCATCCCTCAACCACCGGTCGCTTGCTTCCGTCCGCTTCCTCCCACTGACTTCCACATCCCTCCCACCATCGACTCGACTCAACATTTCGCTCTCGTTTCCTGGCTATTTTTTTCAGTCAACCGAAAATCCCTGAACCGCCACCGTCATGCTCGCTTACTCTCGCTCTTCTGCATATATATCCTGCCGTGCTGCACCTGTCCAGATATGTGATTCTGGTGAAAGGGGCACGCGGGGCGGGTGGGGAGGAGGAGTGGGCGTATGAGCTGGGAGAGCATGCCCGGCAGGGCATCGGGTCAGAGAGATTGCAGAAGTTTTTTAACGAGGTGAGTAGTCCCTTCTTGAGCTGATGAGAGTAGTGGGCAGGTGTGAATAGAGTGGGCGTATGAGCTCGCAGGGCAGGGCATGGCAGAGCATTGGAGCAGAGAGGCTGCAGAAGCTCTTCAGCGAGGTGAGTGAAAGGGCTCCCTCTCTCTCTCTCTCTCTCTCTCTCTATCTCTCTCTCTCTCTCTCTCTCTCTCTCTCTCTCTCTCTCTCTCTCTCTCCTTCAAGTGTGTGCTGGCAATGTTGCAGAAGCTGTAGGGCTAAATGGAGTGGGCGTATGAGCTGGCAGGCAGGGCAGGGCATGCCTGGCAGGGGATTGGAGCAGAGAGGCTGCAGAAGCTTTTCAACAAGGTGAGAGGGCCTTCCCGAGGAAACGAGATGAGAGGGCAGGGGTATAATGAGTGGGCGTATGAGTTGGCAGAGAGCATGCCCGGCAGGGTATTGGCACTCAATGAGATGAGAGGGAAAGGGGCCCCGTGCCAGTACTGCTAATGCTGCAAGTGCTGGGCAAAGGGGAGTTTAGGGGTGGGTAAAAGACATGAGTTTGGGTGTTTGAGTTGGCAGAGCAGTGACGGTGGGGAGTTGGTGCAGAGTGTACCTATTCTGACACAGAGAAGAGGTGCAGAGTTGCAGAGGCTGCTCCATGAGGCGAGCTAGAGAGAGGATTCCCTTGTTAGTGAGAGTGTGAATGACATGCGATGTGTGTTGAATATATCTCCGCTCTCTTTGCCATTCCCTCTCTTTGCAGACTGTTGCAGAGGTGCAAGATGGACCCCCTTCCCATGACTTGAGATGAGGAGCGGAACATCAGTGAGGGAAGTGCTTGTTTTTCGAGTCTTGTCTCACAACTCACCAGTCACCTCATCTGCTGCAGACCGTTGCAGAGGTGCAAGATGGACCCCCCTCTCATGACTTGAGATGAGTGGTGCAGCGTTTGTGAGATGCACAGTTTCTTTGTCCTAGCATAGATGCAAACTAATATTCAAGGTGATGATATTGATCCTGCGCAGGGCCTCAGATTCCAGGAATTTTACCCTGATTTCCTGATGTTTGACCCCGGTTTTTTATTGTAACCCTGATGAATCAGCCTTTTTGTTTTTACAACCCTGATGAATTAGTGTTTTTCTTTTCCTAATCCTGATTTTCCAGTGTTTCTAGTTTGTCGACACTGACGAGTGAGTGTTGTATCGGAGACGACCCTGAAACCGAAAACTCCGTGATTCTCGCAGTTTTGCGCGCCGTCATCATGCATGAACCCACCCTGCACCGACGCCACCCTGCGGCGCGCCCAGATACAGTTGAACGGGTTAATTTCGGGCTGTGTTGGCAAAACGGCGTAAAGAGATTGGCTGTCCCAGCTGAAGCAATGTACCGTTGTCACGTTGGATAACCTACACTTGTCATTACTTTCCATTGATGTGCACAAACAACCAAGCCTAGTGGCCCAGTGGGCCAGTGGTCTGCCTTGTTCTTTCCACCAAGGCAGGGCGTGCTGGGGCGGCCCGCTCAGGCACCCCACGCAGGGGGTCTCGTGATTCTGCCATTCCAGCTCTCCAGACTCCATCCCTTTCCGAAACATCAATCTCTGCAGTCTCCCTGAAGCCTGCTCGGCAGGCTCTCTCTCTCCCAGGGTTTCTCGTTACTACTCACCGATTCAGGAAGGTGACGTGAACGCGCCATGGCGATCACCGGTGAGAACAGCTGCGGTGATGATGACGACGATGCACTTTACGCCGCCACCGAGATGCTGGAGGCCAGAACGGGACTAGATTTTCTAGTTTCCGTGCTCTCCCATGAAAAAGAGAAGCCAGGTCCCGTCGCCTCAGTAGCAAACACTGGTGAAGCGTCTGGCCTCTGCCGCGGAGACGATCGTCCCCAGCCCGCGCATACTGCTAAGCCGGCCGTGCCGTCAGCAGCCGGACCGAGCGTCCGCTTGCCATCTCGTGCGTCGTCGTCGAAGCCTCCGCCTCGTTACAAGCAGGCCGTGCTCCGTTGGGCCGATCCTACAGATCCTGGACGTCCTCTCGTTGATGCCGGCGAGTCGGTAAACCACGTTACGCCCACGCCATTTAACTCTAAAAAACCGTCACTAACCACTCTGATTTACGAAGAGGCCCTTGAAACGTTCAAGTCGACGTGGTCGACCGACTACCCATGGCTCATCCTCATAAAAACACTGCTGGCATGCCTGCGTTCAAGTGCAGATTGTGCATCGACTTTGCAGGTGACGGTGGCAAGTGTGGCACGGTGCAACCGATCTTCAGACCCAAGCCTTCAAGCGGCATGCCGCGACGAACAAGCACCAGTTGGCCATCAATCACCAGAAGCAGATGCTAGCTCAGGCTGGGATGCGCGGCTGTCGGACCTCATGTGCATGGCATTGCTGCCGTACGAGCCCGACTGGGCGGAGGTGGTGAAGATCTGGAGGGCGTACAAGAAGCGCAAGCCCATCACAACAGTGGCAGCACCAAAGAAGCAACCTAGTGCTAAGGGGAAAGAGAAGGTGGACGAGGATGCTGCTGGTGGTGCTGGCTCTGGGTGGGGGACAGAGACCCCCGTGCACAGGCACGGTTCTATGAGCGATGGTGGTGGTAGTGACGAAGATGAAGACATGTGTGTGATGTGAATTGTGTGTGCGGTGTGAGCGCCAAGTGGTCTGTGCCTGTAGTTAGATTAGAAGCTCATTAGAACCATATTTGAACTTTTCTTAACTTATTATACTTGTGATACCGGTAGTTGTTGTGGATTCTCACCGCCAGTGTTTTTTTAAAACTCACGCTGATGTGTCAGGGTTTTTTTTTTTCTAACCCTGAGAAATCAGTGTTTCTCCATTTACAACCCTGATGATCAGTGTTACAGCCCCAAAGGACCCTGAGTGCTCAGGGTCACCCAAAACGAATCTGAGGCCCTGATCCTGCGTATACTGTAAGGTAACAGCAGTGCACTGAATTTTCAAGTGATGGGATGGTCGAGTTAGTGCAGATTCAAGAATGCATTTTCACAATCGCCATTTGCACTGTAAGGTTCGGAACACCTTTCTTTATAATTATAATCAACAATATTTACTGCAAAGGGTTTCACGGGCTTGTTAAGAGTTTGTAACTCAAGCAAACTCCATCCACCTTATTAGCAATCCAGAATCCTCTATTACTGCTCATTGGAAGCCGTAGAAAGCAGCAGCAGCAATGGCAGCGACACCGGCAACGATTGAGATAAGGGAGAGGATGGGGGTGCTGTTCCCACCAATGGCCCGGTCGGTTTCAGGGTCGTAGCGAGCGAAGCGCTTCTTGGGTGCTGAGCACTGCGGGCACTCGTAGGAGTCGGGCTGTAAGGGCGGAGAATTGATGTACAGGAGAGAGATAATGGGAAGGGGAAGAGGTTAGTGGGAGAGGTAAGGGAATAAACAAGTGAGTTTAGGCAATGGAGAGCACGCAGGCTACGCATCTTCCCTTTATCAAATGCACCGGACCTTTTCCCACCTCACATGCGCAACAGATTCACAAAAGAAACTCCCTTGGCCCTTGAAAGGCTTGCCCAGGGTGTAGATGAATCATGAACCCACAGCCTGGGCATAACCTGTCAGAGGCTTGCCCAGATAAATGTGCGTTCAGGAGGGCTGTCACTGGTAAACAGGTGGGCAGCGGAGGTCAGCCCACCTGCGGAGGTCAGCCCACCTGTTTATCAATGACAGCAGCACAGATAAATGTGCGTTCAGGAGGGCTGACAACATCACCTCACACGCAGGGCACCCACTCAATTCCCTACACGCACAACCTACATGCATTCGCTACATGCACCACGCACCTGGTCCTCAAAGGGCTTGCTCAGCGTGTAGATAAAGCCCCAGTCAAGGCAGATGTGCGTTGCCCGTGCCACACCCTGTCAACTCAACAGCCCACTCCGCTGCACCGCATTCCACCTCCCACCCCCAACGCACCTGGTCCTCGAAGGGCTTGCTGAGAGTGTAGATAAAGCCGCAGTCCAGGCAAATGTGAGTTGCCCGCGCCTGACATGACAGGGAAGGAGGGGGTACGGGGTGAGAGGGGAACATGGTTGGAGTCAGCGAGAAGAACTACGAATGGAGGGGATTGCAGGAGGAAAAAGGGAAGGGGAAACCGAGGGAGGGAGGGGTAGGGGGGAGGAAGGGAGTCGTTCCTCTGTCCACCCTAGTCAGAACGCAGAACACAAGACTACTCCTTTTCTCTACCCAATTCCTATGAAGAGGAATCCATAATAATACCATACGAGCCTATGTATTTCTCATCCAATTCTGCCATGTGCTCCCAATCCCATCATATTTCACAAACCCATTACCCCTCCTTCCTTGCTTTCTAAGGTTAGGCACTTCTGAAAAACGTCAAGTCAAATAGTGCCCTGCCTTACAAATAGGCTCGTTGCCCTTCCTTCCCATGCCATCCCATGTCCCCCAACCCCATCCGCCATCCCGTATCCATATTCCCCCATCCCATCTCAGACCAGCACATTCCCTCACCCCCATCCCCCTACCTTCTGAGCCTCAGTGAGCTTGCGTCCGAAGCGGGAAGGCGCGGGCCGCTTGGGCAGCCGCTTCACGTCCACATAGCCGCCCCGCGCGAGCACGAAGTAGACCGAGTCGGGCTTGGCGTTCACGGCCGTGCGCGTGAATCCGAGGTTGTCGGACGGCCACAGCTCGTCGCCGAAAAAGCTGCTCGTGTAGACCACCTGGTCGCCCACCTTAATGCCCGCCCTCGCCGCGTTGCTGCCGGGGGCCACGCCCTGGGGGGAGAGGGACAGGGGGATCGGGTGGGGGGAGGGGGGAAAGCTTGAGAACGCGGGGAGCGGACGGCCACAGCTCGTCGCCGAAGAAGCTGCTCGTGTGCACTACTTGGTCGCCCACCTTAATGCCCGCCCTCGCCGCGTTGCTGCCGGGGGCCACGCCCTGGTAATAGCCGGGAAAGGAGGGGTGATTCGGAGTAAGTGGGGAGTCAGACGACGCTGCTCGTGTAGACCACCTGGTCGCTGACCCAGCTTTGAGTCGACGCAAAACTAGGATCCCGGCCCTCGCCGCGATGCTGCTGGGGGAAAGTGCCTACGAAAAACGAGGGAAGAAGGGTGAGGGAAGGGGGAGAATGCGGAAAGCGGATGGGGGAACTTGTGAGTGCTCCCAGGCGTGAGCCGAGCGGACAGAAGTGGGGATGCGGAGGGAGAGAGGGACGAAAGGGGGGAAGAGCGGACGGGAAGGGGGCGAGGGAGAAGCAACGCGGCTCACCGAGATCTGCACGCCGCCGGGCTTGTCGCCCGGCGGACAGACGTGGGAATCAGAACGGGTAGGAGGGGGAGGGACGAGGAGAGGGGGAGAGGGAAGCAAAAGAGGGGGGAGGGAATGGCGCGACGCGGCTCACCGAGATCTGCACGCCGCCGCCGGGCTTGTCGCCGAGTGTGAGGCCGAGCGGCTTGTCCACCTCCACCTCGTACTGCCCGCCCGACGTGCGCGCCGTCACCGTCGCCGGCCGGCCGGCTGACTTGCCGGCCTGGACTGGCCGGCTAGCCGCCTGGGCGTGCTGGCGAACAGCCTCGCCGAAGAATCCCGTCTGCGACAAGCGACATCGCAAATGGGGCGTGAGAATGTTACACAAAAAACAACACCGAACTGTTATGACATGGAAGGGCATCCGGCTGAAATCTAACAAATACATGACAATCAAATTCATTCATGATGAGCACGTTCGGGACCGAGCGTTCCTACTTACCCGCAGATTGCGCTGCTTGAGTGGCACGAGTCCAGCGGCGCTGAGAGCATTGTCCTGGCTGACGGCAGCAGTCAGCCCCGGCGCGACGGTCACATTAGCTGACGTGGCAACAACAGAGGAGAGAGCCATGACGGGCGCGGGATCGAACTAACAGTGCTGGAGGAAAATGCGGGGACTCGTTGCTGGAATGCGTTTGGCACAAATTCCGAACAAATTGCTGAAATTGAGATTTCTCACTTCCCTGGCAGCACGGTTTAGGGCCACATGTTCCCAAGGTGGTTTAGTCGGCTTCAGGAAACCTACGTGAGACTACCTGGCACACACCGAGGCAGATGCAATGCCAGCTGGAGTGATTCCTTTGGTTTGCAAGCCTTGAACGACGTGGCAGTAGCTTGTGTGTGGATAACGAGTGGACGCGTGCTTGTTGCGAGATGGGCCATCGTTGTTGACGAATTGACGAAACACCCCTTTCGTCGCCAAAAGGGGGTAAAGAAGGCCCGCTCGAAGTCGAGGCGAAGTTGCGATGGAGGGCTCCCAGCACCGACGTGGCTTGAAATGCTGCTTTGCGTTCTAGAACACCGTGACACACGTATTGCTAGCCGCCACGTTGCTTCAAAGATCTTCCTTGATAAAGGAGCACGCATTTACAGTAAAACACAAGACCAAGTGCAACTTTGCTGTGTAAAATCGCGTTATTATACGGCGTTATCCCGCATGATTTTATTAAGGCTGAGACCAAGGCTGACCGTTTGGCGGAAACACTTGGGACCGACTAGCATTCTGTGACAACGCATCCCACCGTACAGCAGCACATCTCACGCTGCAATCACAGCGACTCTTATCGCAAATCCAACAACTGCGTGTCCAACGTCCCCAACCCACGTGCAAAAAACACAATCGAAGCACTCTATACACGCATCAAGGTGAGCAACAGCGCCAAATCAGCGCCCTTGTTACCCACTGTGTTGTTTCCCTATGCCGACCTCGCACCACCTACCCTCCGACACCTAACCTGACACTGTTTACAGCCGTCCGATAATGTCTCCCTTGCCAGATGTGCGTAATAACGAGCAGCGCACTAGCGTGTCGCAAGTTGGTTGGTGCCATGTTCCCTCATCCTGCCCTGCTGCTACTGAACGCGCTCCGTTCACTGCGCCGCTCTTTTTCTTCTCCACGCGCGCGACACGAGCGCAATCAGCATCAATCCAATTCGCGGAACCAATGTCTTCGCGTTCCCGCCCCTTCCCCCTCCCCCCTAACATGAGCGCAAACATCAGACATCACTGTACGCTCCGCAAATATGCGCCTTCTTTCTTCGCCGCCAACACGCATTACGGCTGCGTTTGCAAATTGCAATGCAAGCGGGCTGGCCCCCAATACAGCAGAAAGCAATCGGCGCGCTTGAACAAGTGGAGAACGGTGGGGCTGGTTACGCAATTTCCAACCAATCAGGAAGGACGATGATCTTACTGCAAATCTCACACCAAGGGGCTCTTGGCGGCAGCCCTTCGGCAGCCCCGATGGGCTTCAAGGGTGGCGCGAGTTGCGCGGATTGCGCTGGTTCCGCTGGTTGCGCGCATTGCGCTAACCTCACTCGTCACGGCTACGCGCAGTGGGGACGGCTGTAACTGTACTGTATCTCGACTCCAACACTGTTGTCGCTCTGCCCTGGATCTACGGCAACTCGACTCTCCTCTCCTCTCCTCCGCGCACCCTTCACTTCACTTCCCCTGCTGCGGGGGAAGAAACAAGAAATCTTGCGGCAGCCGCGACGCTTCCTGGGTTTACAACTTTACAGAACTGGAAACACCAGCCGGGTCGGGGGACGGGATCTGCCGCGCTCGTCCATGGCCCCCCGATTCCCGATTCCCCACTTCCACCGCTTCCATGATTGAAGGCTGAGGCCTCTCCCGAGCACGTTGCCTAGCATATATATCGCTCACTCGCCTCTCGAGGTTCTCACGAACTGCCATACCTTCGTTTCGAGCCCTTTGGGTGGAAAAGCCACGAGTCCTGACGCACAGTATTGGAGTCTGTGTAAGCGCTTTCGCTCATGGCTTCTCAGAGCCCGCACAGTCGGGTTCTTGCCGCGTCGGCGCTTCTCGCGCTGCTCCTCTTCGCGCCGCTCGTTCCCGCGCGCGCCATGGGCGCCGCCGATCACGGCGGGCACGACGGCGGCGATCACGGAATGGAATCGCAAGGCAGATTAACGTCGCGAGACGTGTCGATGAGCAGCAAGCGCGCGCTGCGGAAGAAGCTGAAGAAGTTTGTGGATCCGCTACCGATTCCCCCTGTTGTCAATGCGGACCGGCTTCCGAAAGACTCCAGCGGCGCCGCTGATCTCACCATCACCGCGTTTAGCGTGAAACGGGTGAGCTGTTACCGGGACAGTTCCACTTATGCTTCCGGTTCTTCATTACCAATCTTGTTTTCGCCCTTTTTAACGTCATCCTTACCCTGTAACGCGTCCTCTCTTATTGCAGAAATTCCACCGCGATCTGCCTCCAACTCGCGCGTACGCCTTTGGGCTCACGCGCAAGGGGGCCAGCGTGCCCGGGCCGACGATCGCGGCGCGCGTGGGATCGCCGCTGCACGTGAAGTGGCAGAACAACATCACGGATCAGCAACACATCATGCCCGTCGATTACACGCTCATGGCTCCTAAGCTCAAGATGGGGGGCGTTCCTATCAGTACGTGCGCTTTTTTCCGTTCATAATTACATCATTCCTTGGCCGACACTTGTCTTAAATGCTAAGATTGGTTTAGTAAGTGTTCTCAACATTGTGCTGTACCTTTGCGATTGTTATTTCAGATATACATTTTTGTTCTCCCCCTCCCTCCTTTCCCCCTCCCCCACCCCCCGTCCTCCCCGCCAACAGCGATCCACGTGCACGGCGCGCAGGTCTCCAGCTCACATGACGGTCACCCGGAGGCTTGGTACACTTACTTGGGAGAGAAAGGTCCCGAGTTCGAATCCAACAAGCACCATTATCCCAACATGCAGCCGCCCAGCACGATGTGGTACCACGACCACACCTTGGGAATGACGCGGCTCAACATGGTCGCAGGGCTTTTTGGAGCGTACATTCTGTTCAATCCCCAAGTGGAGAAAAGGTTTAACCTGCCCGCGGGCAGGTTTGACGTGCCGCTGCTGATCCAGGACAAGTCGTTTCTATGGAACGGGCACACGTTTATGGAGGGGAAGGGCCTGACGAAAGCACATCCGGTGTGGTTACCTGAGTACTTCGGGAATTTTATGACCGTTAATGGGAAGGTGCGTTTTCTATGATTGCTGCGTGGTAGTTGGGTAGTCACGACTCACCACCAGCAGCAGTATGGCTTGGTTACTAACTACTAATTGCGGACTATGGTTGCTTTAGTGGCATGGGTTCCATCCATGGGTTGCAATCCTCCGTGTGGACTCACTCACTTCCCCACACAACCCCTCTCAGCCACTCTATCTTACAAACTTCACACCTCTCTCTTCCCTCTCATGGCTTCCACCTCTTCGACACTCCCATGTCCTACTCTCACACCACTAATACCCCCATCTTCCCTATGTCCCCCACCCCTCCCCCCAGGTGACCCCCTATCTGGCCGTGCAGCGTCGCAAGTATCGCTTCCGTCTCGTCAACAGCTGCAACGCGCGCTTCCTCGACCTAGCCCTCCGCGCCTCCTCTCCCGTTTCCGACGATCCCAGCGGGGAAATCAACAGCACCAGCACCACCTTCCCTTTCCTCCAGATCGCCTCAGAGTCTGGTTATCTCAACCGCCCCGTGCCTCTCCGCAGGATAACCCTAGCTCCCGGGGAGCGCGCATGTATCATTGTTGATTTCAGCCAGCTGCCTGCAGGGGCGACAATTCGCGTGAAAAACCGCGCCCCTGCGCCTTATCCCGGGGGTGATTTACCCACGGGGGATGTACAGTACGTCATGCAGTTCAACGTGGAGGGTGACCCGGTCGCAGACCCCTCTACAGTGCCGGGAATCCTAAACTCTATCCCCCTTCTCAACCTCGGAAACATCGCCGCGACAAGGGAAATCACCCTTTCAGAGGTCGCAGACAAGGCGACCGACGAGCCGCTAATGGGGCTGATTGAAAAGAAGCATTACCACGAGAAAGTCGACATAACTCCGACATACGGGACCCGGGAACTCTGGTACCTCATCAACCTCTCTGAAGATGCTCACCCCATCCACATCCACTTCTCCCCACATCGCATCCTCTTCCGCCGCCCGTTCGACAAGGAGCTCTACGAGGCGAAGAAGTGCAGCATTCCCGCCGGGACCTGTTACACGGGTCCGGCAATTTCGCCCAGGCGGAACGAGAGGGGAATGAAGGACACGACGAGGGCTCCTCCGGGGTATGTGACTGCGCTGGTGGTGGATTTTTCGCCGTGGATGGGGAAGGAGCTGAGCTTTGATCCCTCTAAGGGGCCGGGGTACATGATTCACTGCCACATCCTGGATCACGAGGACAACGACATGATGCGTCCTTTCACCATCCTGCCTGCCAAGTAGGAGTAATCGGACGATATTCAGGGGAGGGGCTGGGGATAACTAGATAAGGTGGTGGGAGTTATGGCAGAGGTGGTGGTAACAGGGAGGGGAGGACACGATGGGTGGAGGGGGGTTCGACAAGCAAGCAGGTAGAGGTTTAGGAAGTGGGAGGGGTACCTGTCAGAAGCATGACTCTGAAATAGGAATAAATCAATCTGTTCGTAAAATTTCCAGTGTTGTAACATTATTACAGCAATATTTTTTATATCGTATGCTTTGATGACTTTACCATGTGAAGCTAGGAGTAGTAGACACCCTTCGCTGCAGCCCTAAATGTCTACCTGCGTAATCAGAAAACCAGCATACATTTGTTAATGTACCTAGTGGATACTTATTCAATATGCATCAACAACCATAACACTTCATACACCCATTCCCATTGTACCTGAGGCTAAGTCCAGATGTCAATCACCTCGGCCAGGGATCTATAATTCTCTCAGAATTCACGCAATAGCGAGTCACAATCTAGCACATACCGTAGTCTCCCTTTTCAGGCCTGGGATGAAATTCAGGTTACGGTACACGAGCAGCGTACTTGCGTGTCGCAAGTTGGTTGGTGCCTCATATTGCTGCCAGGGAACGCGCTTCGTTCACTGCGCCGCTCTTTGTACAGTATTAGTGTACTCGTCCGCGTTGCGGTACACGAGTGCCATCAACAGGGAAACCAATGTCGTATGGATCAAGAAAACCAATGTCCCCGCGCCCCCCCACCCCGCTAACAGGAGCAACGCAAAAATGCGCCTGTCCTGCCGCCAACACATATGGCTGCGTTTGCATTGCAACTCAAGCGACAGGACAGCCCCCTATGGAAAACATAGTGCAAAATGGGTGAGGCTGGTTGTGCAAATTTCCAACCAATCAAGAAGCACAGTGGGAAGTGATAAGCTTTTCTGGATTTCACCACCTAGGCGCCCTTGCCTTGGCGGCAGCCCTTCTACTTGACAGTCTCGATGGACTTCAAGGGTGGCGCGGGTTGCGCGCATTGCGCCGGCTGCGCGGGTTGCTCTTGTTGCGCTAGTTGCGCCTTACGCGCAGCGAGGACGGCTGTACTGTACCGTATCTTGAACGCTGCTGTCGCTTCACCCTTGGACCTTGCCTCAACTTGTCTCTCCCTCCGTGGGCCCTCGCTTCACTTCCCATGCCGCGGAAGAAGAACGAGAAACTTTGCCGCAATCGCGGCGCTTCCTGGATTCACAAAATATCGACTCCCGATTTTCTGTTCTCGCCTCTCGCGCTTGGGCCTTCGTTCTGACCACTGTTACTCCAGAATCACGACTCCCGACTCGGTTCTACGTAGCACGTTGTGTAGCGTATATATATCGCTCACTTGCTCCTCGTGGTCTCACCACATGCAATACTCTTCCTTTCGAGCCTTTCGGGTGGAAACGCTACGAATCCTGACGCGAAGTAGTCTGTAGAAGTGCTTTCGCTCATGGCTTCCCAGAGCCCGCACCGGCGCCGGATGGGCGCTTCCCATAGCCCGCACCGGCGCCGGATGAGCGCTTCTCAGAGCCCGCACCGGCGAGTGGGCGCTTCCCAGAGCCCGCACCGGCGGGTGGGCGCTTCTCAGAGCCCGCACCGGCGCATTCTTGTCGCGTCGGCGCTTCTCGCGCTGCTCCTCTTCTCTCCGCCCGTTCTCGCGCGCGCTGTTGGCGCCGCCGAACACGGCGGACACGACGGCGGGGATCACGGGATGGACTCGCAAGGTACATTAACGTCGCGGGACGTGTCGATTAGCAAAAAACGCGTGTTGCGGAAGAAGCTGAAGAAATTTGTGGATCCGCTGCCCGTTCCGCCGGTCGTCAATGCGGACCGGCTTTCAAAAGACTTCAGCCGAGCCGCTGCTTTCACCATCACTGCGTTTAGCGTGAAACGGGTGAGCCTACGATCGTGGCGCGCGTCGGAGCGCCGCTGCACGTGACGTGGCAAAACAACATCACGGACGAGCAGCATATCATGCCCGTCGATTACACGCTGATGGCTCCTAAGCTCGAGAAGGGGGGCGTTCCTATCAGTACGTGCGCCTTTTCCAAATACCTACGTTCCTTGCCGATACGTGTCTTGAATTTCGGACTGTAATGTTACCAAATATTGCGGTGTAGCACGTTTCAGAAATTTAAGTTCGTTTCCCCCCTTCCCACTCCCTCCCGCCACCCCGTTTCCCCCGCCCCTCCCACTCCCGCCACCCTGTTCCCCCCTCCCCTCCCACTCCCGCCACCCCGTTCCCCCCTCCCCTTCCCCTTGGCTGCAGCTGTCCATCTGCATGGTGCGCAGGTCTCGAGCTCCTACGACGGCCACCCCGAGGCTTGGTACACGCACTGGGGAGAGAAAGGTCCCGAGTTCGAATCCAGCCATCATCATTATCCCAACATGCAGCCGCCCAGCACCATGTGGTACCACGACCACACCTTGGGAATGACGCGGCTCAACATTGTTGCAGGGCTTTTTGGCGCTTACATTCTGTCAAATCCACAGGCAGAGAAAAAGTTTAACCTGCCCGCGGGCAGGTTCGACGTGCCGCTGCTGATCCAGGATAGGTCGTTTCTGTGGAACGGGCACACGTTTATGGAGGGGAAGGGCGTGACTAAATCGCATCCTGAGTGGGTTCCTGAGTACTTCGGGAATTTCATGACTGTAAATGGAAAGGTGCGTTTTGTACGGTTGCAGCATGGGGGTTGGGTAGGGTATCGCCTGCATCAGCAATGACTAGGTTACTTACTACTATTTGCAGGCTATGGCTGCTTTCGTGGCATGGGTGTGATGGGTTGCAATCCTTCTTTTGTGCTCACTCCCCACACAGCCCCTTCTCAACCACTCCCTCTTGCAATCCTCACACAAATCAACCAAACACCCATCACCCATCTCCAACCCCCTCACCATCCCCATGAACCATCCCCACCGCCATCCCCATCACCCATCCCTATGCTCATCCTCAACCCCATCCCCATCCTCATCCCCATCCTCCACCCTATCCCCATCCTCATCCCCATCCTCAACCCCATCCCCAGGTGACTCCCTACATGGCAGTCCAGCGCCGCAAGTACCGCTTCCGTCTCGTCAACGGCTGCAACGCTCGATTCCTAGAACTCGCCCTCCGGGCCTCGCCCCCTGTTTCCAACGGCAGCAGCAGCAGCACTGCCAACAGCACCAGGACCATCACCTTTCCCTTCCTCCAGATTGCCTCAGAAGCCGGATATCTCAACCACCCCGTGTTTCACCGCAGAATCACCCTTGCTCCCGGGGAACGCGCGTGTATCATTGTGGATTTCACTCAGCTGCCTTCAGGGGTGACAATTCGGCTGAAAAACCGCGCTCCTGCGCCGTATCCCGGGGGTGATTTACCCACGGGGGATCTACAGTACGTCATGCAGTTCAACGTGGAGGGTGACCCCGTTGCAGACCCCTCTACAGTGCTGGGAATGCTGAACTCTATCCCGCATCTCAACCTCGAAAACATCGCCGCGACAAGGGAAATCACCCTTACAGAAACGGAGGACAAGGAGAGTGGCAATCCTTTAATGGGGATGATCGAAATGAAGCACTACAGTGAGAAAGTCGACATAAAACCAACATACGGGACTCGAGAGCTCTGGTACCTAATCAACCTTACAGGAGACACACACCCAATCCACATCCACTTCTCCCCACACCGAATCCTCTTCCGCCGCCCGTTTAACGAAGAGCACTACCGGGAGAATAAATGCAGTATATCTGATGGGAGCTGTTACACTGGACCAGCAATTTCTCCAAGGAAGAATGAGAGGGGAATGAAGGACACGACAAGGGCCCCTCCGGGGTATGTGACTGCGCTGGTGGTGGATTTCTCGCCGTGGATGGGGAAGGAGCTGAGCTTTGATCCCACTAAGGGTCCGGGGTACATGATTCACTGCCACATCTTGGACCACGAGGACAATGACATGATGCGCCCGTTCAAGATTCTGCCTGCCAAGTAGATAGAGATCCATGGTGGAAAGCTGTGCTGGTTGGGAGGGCTTGCTGAAGAGGAGCTGCATCCTAGTGAACCACTGCCGATCCATTGCCACATATTGGACCACGAGGACAATGACATGATGCGCCATTTCACCATCCTGCCAGCTAAGTAAGTACAGATCCATGGTGGGGAGGGAAGGAACCTGTGCTGGTGCTGCTGAGGGCATGTCGTAGGCAGGTGCGTGAAGCATTGCCCCATTTTGGATACGACTTTGGAGGCGCCTCAGAAGTCGTGCTGGTGGTGCCGAGGGCATTCTGTAGCCAGGCACAGGCAGCATTGCCCATTTTGGATCAGGGGGTCAATGCCATTAAGGTATGCGTCCTTTCAGCATCCTGCCAGCCGGTATGCGTCCTTTCAGCATCCTGCCAGCCGGTATGCGTCCTTTCAGCATCCTGCCAGCCAGGCAGATATACAAACATGATCCTAGCAGGGGAGGGGATGGGGTGATGAGGCGGGTGGGTCCAAATGATTGAGGGAGGTGGTATGAGGGAGTGGAGGACAGGAGGGACGGGGATGGTACGCAAGACAAGCATGAAGTACTTTATGTAGGTGGAGATTTAGGGAGTGGGAGAGGCTATCTGTACAGCACGCTGCTGATTAGGGAATAAACAAGTCTGATGTAGCTGGAATGTTGTTGTTGTATAATATTATTGAGTAATACTCCTGATACCGGTACTACAGTATTGCTGCTCGGAGTACGAACCCCTAGCTGGAACTGTCATGTCTTCCTACAGAAAACCGGCATACGTACATTAATAATGTAGCCAGTAAACTTGATTTGAGTATGCATGAACAACTAAAACACCTTATGCACCCGTTCCCATTGCACCTGATGCTAAGGGTACATTCCTGTGGAGACACAAATGTCTCAATCGCTTTGTGACACACAAAAACAGCATAAACTGTAGTGTGTCCCAATTGCGAGTCGCATTTCCGCGACCATTACTGTATTTTTTATTGGTCAGCGTGAAACGCGCTGACGTCGCTGACGAATTGTAATCTGACTCGTCAATGTGAAAAATTCGCACGCTGCTCGAAATGTCAATGCACCTGGACAGCCTGCAATGCCAATTTCGTGCGGGAAAAAATCCCGCTCGTCGAAACCACACCCCAGCCAAGCGGTTGAAAAAAGGGATGTACAGTCATTTGTGTCACCCAAACAAATGCGCACAACTGTACATCTCGCCTGGTCGCCTAGAGTCGCGATACATTGGTTGTTTGTGACACAACATTTGGCAAATTTACAGGCGCGACTCGGGAAATCGGGGATTGAGACACAAGTGTCCCCGCAGGAATGTACCCTAAGTCGGAGGAAGGAGTATAACATCGCCGGGAAATATAATATCTGGGTCATCAATCCCCTCGGCCACATTCGCGTCTATAATCCTTTCTGGGTTCACGCAATAGCGAGTCGCAATCGAGCACATAGTCTCCCCTTTTTGGACCTGGGGTGAAATGGGAGGGAAGGGAAGAACAGGTGCAGGGGATATAAAGGGAGACATTTTACCCTCTTCACACCTCGCCACCACTGACAGCAGCGCCACACCAGACAACACCCGCCCCATTCCCAGCAGCACCCTTTTGCAGGCGCCTTGCCTCACCGCACCTCACCTCACCTCATCTAACCTCACCGCAGTTAACCCCACTCCACCCCTCGTCTCACCTCATACAGCAGAGCTCGCCGCTGCTGCTGTCCCCTCGCCACCATGGATAGCAGAGTCATGCCGAACAATGCCCCCGCCACTCCCAGCACCACCATTTCTGAGCCGCCTCATACGTGAACCAACATTTGAGGCGCCTCACCCTTCATTTCAGTCATCGACTTTTTGTGGCACCTCACCCCTCACCTCACCTCACCACACCTCACATCACCACACCCCACCCCTCGTCTCACCTCATGAAGCAATGCTTGCCTCCTCTGTCGTCTCCTCACCACCATGGACAGCAGTGCCACGCCAAACAACGCCCCTGCCACTCCCAGCAGCACTTGCCCCGCACTCCACACCCCTCCGCCCTCCCCATTCCCTCTGCTCTTCTCTCCTTTCCGTTTCCGCATCTTCCCTCTCTTCCTGCTGCTGTGCTGGGATGCCTGCTGCTGCTTCTGCTGCTGCTGTTCCAGCTGCTTCTGCTTCTGCTTCTGCTTCTCCTGCTGTTTCTCCTTCTGCTTCCTTTGCTGCTGCTGCTGACTGCTCGGGCCGGCACCACTAGAACGGAGGTCTACACTGCTGCTGATGTTACTGGAACCCTCAGGCACGGGAAGCAAGAGGGTGGAGTGGGGGTCTGTTATATCAGAAGCCGTTGGCAGGGAGGGGGACGGCGACGAGTGTAAGGAGTGAGAGTAGGAGTGAGAGTAGGAGTGGGAGGTCATGTTAGAGATACCTATACCAGCACCACCTGCTGCTGCTGCTGCTGTTTCTCCTGCTGACGTGTCACCCACGCTGCTAACGGCTGCTGACGTGGCAGGCATTGTAGGGGAGTAGGGAGGAGGAGCCGGCCGTTGGCTGTGGGACGCCTCCTCGCCTCTCACTGCTCCTCCTCCTTCTGCTGTTTCTCCTTCTGCCGCTCCTGCTGATGCTCCTGCTTCTCTTGTTCCTCTTTCTCCCCCCCCTTCTGCTGTGGCTACTCCTCTTGCTGCCACTCCTTCTGCTGGGGCACCAGCAGAAGCAGCAGCAGCAGCACCACCACTACCACCACCAGCAGCGCTAGCAGCAGAAGCCGAGGAAAGGTGCTTTCCGTCCTTGTGTGGAAGTGCTCTATTCGAGCCTCCAGGGGTCCTAGACCCACTTGCAACGGGCGTTCTCGCTCCACTAGCAACGGGTGTTCTTGCTCCTGGGGTGGACGAGGAGTAGTAGGCACACAGCAGCAGGAAGGAAGGAAGGGGGTTGATTAAGAACGCATGTTGCAACCAGGAGAATAAGGTCCGAGGAGAGGCGGAGGAGCGGGGGGCGATGCAGACCACCCCATCCAGACACCCCTCCTCGTCCATCACTTGATATCTCTGCAGCTTGACAAGTTGACACTGGAGAGAAACTTACCAGAGGAGCCGGAGGAGCCGGAGGAGCCGGAGGAGCCGGAGGAGCCGGAGGAGGAGAGGCGGAGGAAGCGCGAGACAATGCAAATCTCCCCCACCAGACACCCCTCCTCGTCCATCAGTTGATACCACCGCACACTGAGACTTCTCCAGAGGCACTCACCAGAGAGGGCATTCACGAAAAAAAAGGAGTTACCTGGAGAGCGCACATACCGGAGGAGCAAGAGGAGCCGGAGGAAGCGCGAGACAATGCAGATCTCCCCCACCAGACAGCCCTCCTCGTCCGACGGTTGATACCACCACAGCTTGAGTTGAGACGCCTTGGAAGGCACTTACCAAAGGCAATTGCAGAGAGGCCAATTATCAGAAAGGTGATGTTCTTCATCAGAGAGTGTGCTTACCAGAAGAGCAGGAGGAGCCGGAGGAAGAAAGCCGGAGGAAGCGTGAGACAATGCAGATCTCCCCCACCAGACACCCCTCCTCATCCATCAGTTGATACCACCGCACCACAGTCGCCCCCCCCACCAACCCTGCCAACGGCACGCAGGCTCGGCCAAGGCACGGGCCTGCCGCCGTGCTTGACGAGGCCGCTGATGCTGACGTGGAGGATTGCGATTGGGCGGGGGTGGTGGATTGATCGGCGGAGAGGAGCTCTATCTGTGAGGGTGAGCGATATGGGATGCAGAATTGGGTGAGACTCGGTTGGGTTGGGAGAGATGGGGTTGGGTGAAACTCAAACAGAATAAATAAAGAGAGAAGAGATATCGAAGGTGGGGAGAAGGGATCAAGAGTCGGAGGGAAGGAAGGACAAGAGGAGGGAAGGGGATGCGTTGGCATACAATGAGAGATGGACCACCGTCTGTTGAGTCTTCATTCGTTGCCTGCTTTTGCTGCTCCTGCGACCCTTCCTGCTGCTGCTCGTGCTCCTGGTTCTTCCCATCGTGCTGCTGCTGCTGCTTCGCGGGGTCGTGCTGGTGGCACCAGAAGAGCAGAGCGGCCTCCACGGGGAGCTTGAAGTCCTGCAGCCACTTGGGCGACGCCCCCGCCTTGGACCGCGTTCGGATCTGACACCCACGCACGGGGAGGGGAGCGGGGAAAATGGGGAGTAACTTGAGTCGCTTCGGCAGGCGTCCTGGTGGCACCAGAAGAGCAGCGCGAATTCCACGGGGAGCTTGAAGTCCTGCAGCCACTTGGGCGACTAACCCGCCTTGGGCCTCGTTCGGATCTGGCACACGCAATCGGAGGGCAGTTGAGAGTCTTTTGAGTAGAGTCAGATAAATGACTTTCGAAATGCGGAGGTGACTAGTAAGTCGAGTGAGAGGTCATTTGAAAGTGAAAAGTCCTTCTCACTCGGCAGTGTCATGGCGGAAAGGAGCGAGGCCCCCTTCTCCGTCCAAACGCATACATACAAATGAAAAGACAGGGGAGGGTGGACGGCAAAACAGACGACCGGGTTAAACGTTAATGGTGGCTTCCTCGTCAAGTATCCCGCGACCTTGCACGGGCATCCTTGACCCACCTGTCAGTTCCACGCTACTTCCACTGAAATTATTACAAGGAGTCAGTCAACCGACCTGATGACATCCGAGCTGGACGGACACGATGGTGCCACGTGTCGCGTCGCCGTCCTCGACTGGTTGCCTGACGTGGCGACCCTGGACCACAGACACCTGCAGCTGACCTCCGACTCCCGTGCTCTCCACGCTCCCCGACATAGCCTTGAAGGTAGATTAGCCTCGTAGCGAGAGAGCAGCGCTGTTGGTGGTAGCGCGAAAGTAGCGCGTTCGGTGAGCGCGTGCGAGTTAGTGCGTTTGCTAGTAGCGTGGGAGTTAGACGCGCAAGCTAGTAACGTGCGAGTTAAACGCGCAAGCTAGTAACCTGCGAGTTAGCGTGTTTGCCAGTAACGTGCGAGTCAGTGCGTTTGCTACCAGTGTGTGAGTTAAAGCGTTTGGTGGTGGATTATGCCGGCGTGAGCATTAGTGCGTTAGTGTGTCAGTGTGTTACCCTAATTTACGGTAACTGCGTTAGCGCGACGGTTAGCAAATGAACACAAGGTATTACTTGATGATGGTATTGGTAAGTAACATTGTGCTTATACATAAACAGAGATGCGAACGAAAACCGTTGTTCTGAGACCGGAGTAGGAAAAAGTGCAACCATATTTATTTCAACACGCTTGGTCTAACGGACCTACTGATCGCCATGGCACAATCAGCTAGTGCGCTACGGCACCCAAACAGGAACGAGCATCAACTGAAAAGCGATCGAACAGTAGCCAACTCAACTAAAACGTGAGACAGCCGCAGCGGCAAATGAAAGGCAGCTCTCAGAAGCTCAGAGGCGTGGGAACTCGGCAATTTCTGTGCTCTGCAGAATTTGGCGGGAGATCCTCCTGATCAGGCCAAATAACGGGTACACTGCACGGAAGGAACAGTACACTACTGTACAAAACATTATACGTCAAAATCACAGCAATTGATCAGGAAGTGCTGAAGCTGGCTAGAGCTAGGGGGACAATGCCAAGGCTGGGGACGGGGCAAGGTGTGAGAAGCCACAAATTTTTACACTTCTGGTTGAGCTCAACAGCTCACCAGTCCATCATTTATAGCCTGATGTTGGTGCAAACATCTTACAGTATATAGTAACATATTTCGATCTAGCTCTTTCCAATTAGTTGGAGAAGAGCATTGGTCATAAGACCCAGCCCTGAAACAAACCACTTGACAAAGACAAGCCACGGCTTGTCATTCGGCCCAGGCTTCATTCCCTTGGCAATCAAGTGGCCTAGGGCAATAAACAAGAAGACTCCAGCCGCCATGCCGTTTCCAAACGCCCTGACCCATTCCCGTGCAGTAGGGTCGCCAGTCGTGTCAAGGACGATACCGATCACGATACCGAGGGGAGCAACGACGGATGCGCATAGAGCAAAGAGAACGTGCTTCAAGGCACTCCTCTCCGTGTCCTGAACCCTCAGCGTCACACCAAGCGCCATCCCCTCAAAGAACTGTCTCCAATGCAACCATGCCACGACACAGGAACATAAACAATGTAGTCAGACAGAAGTCAGAACACAAGCAAAAACTTCACCCCTAAACTGCACAACAAAAGCCTTCACAAACCAGCAGGGAACAAGGAAATCAGCTAGCAGAAGCTAGCAAATTCCAGCATGTGATGCGGCGTGATCTCACCTCGTTGACGGCAATGGAGGAGGCCATTTGCCAGACATCATAGACCGTAGTGGCGAGGCCCACGGCAAGCCCTTCAAAGACGGCGTGGAAGCAGAGGGCGAAGAGGATGAGCGCCACGTCCACGAAGCTCAGCGCGTTGTAGTCTGCTGGCGTGCTGCCGCTGCCGCCTTCCGTGTCGCCCTCTGTGGCGGCCTTTTGGCCCACGCCGAGGACAGCAGCCACCGTTGGATCGGATTCCTGGTCAGATGAAACGAAACACGGACCATGATCGCATAAGCCTTGTGCGTGCATGCGTGTTTGCCCATGCGAAAAGAGAGCAGAAAATGCTACAACTGGCAACACGTTCTGGTCGAATACATCAAAGCAATAGGGCCTGTGAGAGCTCAGTACATTGGCTGGATCATCAGAAACGGATCGTTTTCTCCACACGGTCTTGACAATGAGGTCACAGAGCCACGTGAGGAAGACGCCCATCACCACCACCAGGTACGCCAGCGGGTACTCTGAGATGCACACATAGATACCGACATATGGGGCACACACAGGGAGGTATTGAGGCACCTAAATAAGAACGGCCATCACCACCACCAGATACGCCAGCGGGTAGTCTGAGATGCACGCGGACACGACACAGCACCCGCAAATGATGCCGCCATGCAGAGCATAGCGTCAGTGGCATGCGAACGCACGACATTCAGCGCAGCAGCGTGCTACCTCTACTACACTTATATAGGAATATCAGAAACGGAGACTTTGCTAATCCATCTACGCCCTGTTCACAGGGGTAGTTGCAATGCGAGGTGCTGTTTCTAACAAGTCCCCAGATCCTGCTTTGCATGCTCAGCGTATCCTGCTGAAACTCCCAAGCAAGCTGCGACGTACTGTTCTGACAAGCTCCACTTAGAGCTCTTCTGTCTCCAAGTTTTGAAGCGACCAAAACGACCAAAACTTGCAGTTCCCAGTACGAACAAAACGACCAAGATTTCAGGGGTGTCGAGCGAAGACTCCTGTAACAGCTCTGGAATGCGACGGACGGTCTGTTTGAGGTGAGGTCCCCAACGCCTGAACAGCTCTTCCGTTTCCGAACTTCAAACGCCTTGATCATCAAGAAATTCCCTCTCGGGGGCCTTAGTTGCCTTCTTCGAGTTCCTTACCGGCAACCACGCTCCCGTCGAGTTGGATCCTTCAGTCACCTTCAAAATATTAGGCGTTACTTCAAAGCTTCTCTTCGATTTTCACGTATTTTTAGCCACCGTGTACGCATGACTTCTGGCCACAATGGCGTGCGTGCAGCGACACCATGGTTAGTACATAGAGCTTTGCTTCAATTTAGAGCCCGTTTTCCTAGCGCTAACGAGACGTGAGTGTGTCGTGGTTTTGCAGGCGACTGGTTTGGCAGTCCAGCATACCCTATTATGCTGTATTTGACCTCAGTTGTATTCGTTTTACCACACTTGTTGGCAGCTAATTGGTTAGTTTCCACTGCTTATTTTAAACGTCGTATGCTGTCTCCTGTTTTTTCAGGGTGGGTTGGTCGTGTCTGCCAGCTATCGATGATCGTGAAGTTTCATGCCTGTGAAGGCTTTTACCCATTCGACGGTTTAGAGTTGGGTTTAGTTGGTTGTGTTCTTGTGTATTGTTTTATTAGTTTATACATTCAACTACAAATTTCAAATTTATGACTATCCACCATAGCATACGTTAATGAACAGAGGCGATGTAACATGCTTACAATGTACTATCAAAACGGGTATTGCTTTGTGAGCATAATGTAATTACTATGTATATACTGCACGTTTTCGGGTGAGTGGTGTCATAGTGTGAACCTCGTACTAACTGTAATTGGTTGATGGGAGTAAATGCTTTCTGTATGCGGACCATGTACAATATACATTCGTAGTATGATTTCAAGTAAGTACAAAGCACGAACTGTATTGCCAGGTGAAGAGTAGCTTGTTTGTCGCAGAACCTATACTTACATAGTTCGTCAGTACTATGTGCGCTCTACGTAAAGACAATGTGTAGGCATTGTGTTTACTTAGTATTTCCGCCAAACATTTTTGGGATGATACTTTAGGATTTCAGAAGAACTTCAAACGCCTTGATATTTTAGGATGTGGAGCTGACACTCCCGTAACAGCGGGTGTCCTAAGTGGTGTAATGCGACGGACGTACTGTTTGAGGTGAGATCCGCGAAGAGCTCCTCGGTTTCTGGTGAGGTAGAGCAGCGACATGCCGATGAACAGCCCCGTGGAGAAGAGCACGCCGAACTTGAGGATGTTTTGCCGCACGGGAGATGGAACTCCAGACAGCGTCTGTCTGTTTACTACTACCAGTAAGAGAGGTGGAGAGGTGGGACGTACTGTTTGTGGTGAGGTCGGCGAAGAGCTCTTCGGTTTCCGGCGTGAGGTAGAGCAGCGACATGCCGATGAACAGCCCCGTGGAGAAGAGCACGCCGAACTTGAGGATGTTCTGTCGCACGGGAATGAAGTACGGCACGAAGACGCCCAGGAAGCTCGACCCCAGGAACACGAACAGCGCGCCCACCTTGTTCGCTGTTAGCGCGCTCGTGCTGTCGCTTCCCTGGGAACGAAACAAGAGAGAGGAGAGATATGATCATTGGAAAGTGAGCGACTGAAATTTTATTTTCTCTGTTCCCAAGTCGTCTTTTCTCGCACGGTTCTGAAAATGCAGCGTGATTGGACATGCCTTACATTATGGTAGAGAAAATCACCTATATCCTGCTTTTTCTTTCTTTCTTTCTTTCTTTATTCTGTTTTTTATGCCTGTTGCTTATTCACCTGCGACGAACTGCTGCTGCTCGACGTGGCTGCTACAGTAGCACTCCATAATCCCGCGAGAAGCGCAAACGCTATCAACCTGCTTCCGCGCTCCATGATGAGTGGGAATGCTCAGTAAATAGAACAGCACAAGGGCGACCGGATGCGCGTCGCTAGGGATAACTTGTAGCTTCTGGAGCGGCTAAACTCCCGAACTCCTTCGAGAAATCCCAAACTCGCTCTCCGAGGGTCCGAGACAGAGTCAACTTCACAGTGTGTGGTTGTAGGCAGGCCGGTCCAGATCCAAGATTCTAGGCCCAAACGGGCGATGCCGGTACGTGCCTACCACATCCGAGACACGACCAGGCACCCAGCAACCTGGAGCTAACCAAACGCTCAAAACCCCTCCACACAAGCTTGTGCTGATAAGAGATCGAGCTAAAGTGATGTCATAATCTTCCAGCGTTGGCCTTCGTGTTGAATCCTCGCTCTGTCCCGTGCTCCTTCGTGCCAGGCAACAGCTGAAATGAAATGAAGGGCGAAGGAAACAGAAGATGAAACGGATAGCTGGTCATTGGGCAATACAAGAAGAATCTGGACGGGACACCTGACTGGATGAACCTGATCATGCTTCCGCCACTCTGCCTTTTGGTCGGTAATCCCAAGGGCCCGAACCGAAACTGGCTTGGTGGTGTCAGGCTGGTCAAAGGCGACAGGTCGGGAAAGCGGGTAACTTTTATGGGCGATTATGGCGAAGGGAATCTGGAAGTGCATCGCTGTACGATGCTGCGTGACGTGGCCTTACAGCGAGAGCCGCCAGGTAGACGCGCGGCTTGGAGAGTGAAATGACGGCACATGGTCGAAACGTGGAGCACGTGTGATCTAGGCGTGCCGTCTCAGGAACCGCCTGGCCAGATGGACAGATATCAAGCCATTGCAGGTGGTCGCTGCCAAACCTACTGCCAGCAAGGAGAACAGCGAAATCAGCGAACTGTCACGTGAAAATGCGGTGGTCATGGTCGATGGGTTACCACATAACTCGTTGTAAGACTCATTTTCCGATTGTTGGTTGAAGCTAGAAGTTGCTGCACGTTATATCCTTGATTGATCAGCCAGCCTGGTAAATGTTACAGGATATACATAATCCTCTGAACAGAAATCCTTTTTTTTTTTTCAAACGTCCCCAGCTTTTACCATAACCGTATAATTGCGCGTGGGATCGAAGTACTTGCGGTAGACTCCATAGGCAACAGCCAGGAGCAGGGCTGTTAGCGCAGTGACCGCGGTAAATGCCACCCATCCAGTTAACATAAGTCCTTCAGAACGAGAAGCCACAGAACTGGAGGATCCACCTTGAGAGAGCTGAAGCTGGAAATGGGAGAAACCACAGGGGAAACCATGGGGAAAGACATGGGATGGGATGTGAATTACGCAAAAAAGGTGGCAGAAACACCGAGTAGGGAAACGAGGAACAAAAACCCAAGGGGTCGAGTGAGGCAGAAAGCATCACACAGGCCACGGCACGGCAACAAACAACTCATCACCAAAGCGCAACCTGGAAGATAAGCACGCCACCAGAACTTCACGCAAAGCAAGCAATCTTCCCATTTCCCTAGAAACTTCCTCACCTTCCCCCGCTCCCTCGCACCCCCCACCCCCCCACACCTGCACAAGTGCACACATACATCCCTCTCCCCTTGTACTCACAAGGGCAATCTTGTTGAGGGTCTCTTGAAGCAGCTCGCTGCTGATCTCCCCCCCCACATGCCCGCCCTCCTTCCCCACCAGCGCCACCAGCGGCAAACACTCATTCCCCAGCGCCTCCTTGGGCTGATCCATCAGACACTGCGCGTACTGCCCCACCACTGCTCCTGACACGCTTGCTCTGCGGTTGCTGCTGCCGCTGGTGGTGGTGTAGTTGGCGCAGCGGGAATCGATGATTGCATCGCAGCCCTTGGTTAGGTCGGATCCACGGTGGTACATCCACAGGGCCATGCGCACTGCATAGGCCACCTGAAGGAGTGGGAGGTGGGGGGTGGGGGAGGGAGAGGATTGGATCGGCATGCAAGGGTGGGAAGGATTTGGAGAAAAAAAAAAAAAAAAACAGCACATTGCCCTCCCTTCCTTCAACTGGAAGTCGGCTCAAAAGACGCAAGCAAGCAACCCACCTCTGTGTGGCAGCTGGCTGAGAGGTCGGACTGATAGTCAACGAGGCACTTGAGCACGAGCGCATGCCCCTCCCTACCCCATCTCTGCTTAGACCCTAAAGCAAGTAACCACAGTGCACCGCACTGCACCCACCTCTGTGTGACAGCTGGCAGAGAGGTCGGACTGGTAGTCCACGAGGCACTTGAGCACGAGCGCGTGGCCCTCCCGGCCCTCATCCACCACCTTGCACAGCCGCTCCACGTCCTCCCCACACTGCTGCTTCACTGCCGCGTCCAGCTTGTAGTACTTTGACTGGCGAGTTGTCTGCAGGTCCACCTCTGACCGGCATGCCACGCTCATGCCCGGCTGGTTGGGTGGTGAACAGGTAGGTAGGAAGGGGTTGGAAAGGGTTGAAAGGGGTTCAGCCGTGTCATGTCGTCCCCACACTGCTGCTTCACTGCCGTGTCCAGCTTGTAGTACTTGGACTGGCGAGTTGGTGCGGCCTTTGAGATTTCTCAAAAGTCGGGTGCGACTTTCTCAAAATTCGCACCAATATAGCTTGTAATACTTGGACTGGCGAGTTGTCTGCAGGTCTACTTCTGACCAACACGCCACGCTCATATCAGGCTGGTTGGATGGGGAAGGGGTTGAAGAGGATTGGAGGAAGTTGGAAAAGGGGTTGCAAGGATGGAAAGGGGTTGAAAGGGGTTGGAAGAGACAAGGAGAAAGGCACGAGCACATGGGGACTGCAACCGACTACCATACCTCATGGTGTCAGCTATTCATCACACACACCAGCCACCACACTTCTGGGTGCATGTGAAGTGAGCACTGTACCTCTTTCACCACACAACAACCAGCCAACACGCCACCATACCTCCTGCACGTGCAGCTGCAGGCATCGGAAGGCCTGGCCGGCAGCGGGCGGCACTTTTCGGCAGAACTGGTGCAGCTCCAAGCCACATGCGTTCATGAGTGTGGGGGTGAGGCGGATATCAGACGCCTGGTTGGAAAAAGGGGGAGAGTGGGAGGAAAGGGGGGGAGGAGGGGAGGGGGGAAGGGGGAACTGGGGTTAGTGGTGGGAAGGATGTTGGCCTGCTCCAATGAACCCATCTCCATCTTACTGAACCACAGCTCCTTCCTCTCTGCACCCCCTGACAGCGGACCTAGTCGATTCAAACAAAGCAACCCACATAATCCTCTAAGGAATGTTCCGGCGCCCACTCAAATTTCAAACAACCTCCATCCCACTGAACTGCAGCTCTTCCTCCCCCTTGCACGCTTCTGACAGCAAAACTTTTGATGTTCTTCTCCAAGTACTACTAACAGCCTCACACAGTCGCCAAGGCATACCTGAACACCCAGACGATTTTCTACCCACCTCCATCTCACTGAACCGCAGCTCCTCCTCCTTGCACCCCTCTGACAGCGCGTCTCTGTTCTGCCTCAGGCACGCCAGTGCCTTGCTGTGGTCCCTCTCGCCCCCACACCTCTCCTTCACGTCCTCCCTGCATGCCACCTGACCGACACAAGCAGGGCACAGGGAGACACATTACGACACGTCTCAGAACACGCCAGTGCCTTGCTGTGGCCCCTCTCTCCTCCACACCTCTCCTTCACATCCTCCCTGCATACCACCTGTAGACACAAGCAGGGCACAGGCACACACATGTGTAGACACATCTCAGAACACGCCAGTCCCTTGCTGTGGCCCCTCTCTCCTCCACACCTCTCCTTCACATCCTCCCTGCATGCCACCTGAAGCCACAAGCAGGGCACAGGCACACACATGTGTAGACACATCTCAGAACACGCCAGTGCCTTGCTGTGGTCCCTCTCACCCCCACACCTCTCCTTCACGTCCTCCCTGCATGCCACCTGACCGACACAAGCAGGGCACAGGGAGACACATTACGACACGTCTCAGAACATGCCAGTGCCTTGCTGTGGCCCCTCTCTCCTCCACACCTCTCCTTCACATCCTCCCTGCATGCCACCTGAAGCCACAAGCAGGGCACAGGCACACACATGTGTAGACACATCTCAGAACACGCCAGCGCCTTGCTGTGGCCCCTCTCTCCACCACACCTCTCCTTCACATCCTCCCTGCATGCCACCTGAAGACACAAGCAGGGCACAGGCACACACATGTGTAGACACATCTCAGAACACGCCAGTGCCTTGCTGTGGCCCCTCTCTACCCCACACCTCTCCTTCACATCCTCCCTGCATGCCACCTGTAGACACAAGCAGGGCACAGGCACACACATGTGTAGACACATCTCAGAACACGCCAGTGCCTTGCTGTGGTCCCTCTCACCCCCACACCTCTCCTTCACGTCCTCCCTGCATGCCACCTGAAACACACAAGAACAGGGGAGAGGAGATATGATCTGTGAAACATATCCCAGACAGCCTAAGGACCGTCTGTTCCCCCCCCAAATTCCAAGGTTCATATAGGAAACAAGTAAGGAACAGGGATAAGAGAGGAGAGGCAATGCACCCCATAGGGATGCTACATGGTGCAATACATTGTTACATGGACAAGCGCATGACAAGGCATGACAGGGCATGGGTACGCACACACTACATGATGACTAGACATCCAATCCAAGCCATACTGCTGCCACGTCACCTGCAGAGGCACATCCAGCGCCACGTCAGCGACCTCCTGCTTCTGGAAGTGGAACACCTCATCGCGACACGTGGCAGAGGTGATGTTGCTGACGGCGCTGGTGAGGCAGCGCAGAGTGGCACCGCCACACGTGACCGGCAGGGATGCAGGGGAGGAGGAGGAGGAGGGCAGGAGGGCGCCTTCATCGCAAGTGTGCATGCAGAGCTTCTGCACGTCAGCGAAGCACTCTCTAGCGAGGCGGAAGTTGAGGCGGTAGTCTGAAGGGGGTGGGGGTTGGGGTGCGAGAGGAAGAGGCGAATGATTGCGACGAGGTATGGACGAGGAATAACGAATACGATTGAGGGTGAAATTGAGGGTGAGAGTGAGATAGAGACTCACCTGTCTTGCCAATGTGCATGCCTGTCTTGCCAATGTGCATGCCTGTCTTGCCAATGTGCATGCCTGTCTTGCCAATGTGCATGCCTGTCTTGCCAATGTGCATGCCTGTCTTGCCAATGTGCATGCCTGTACTTGTGGACCAATCAATACCAGGACCATTTGAGAAAAAGGTTGTAGTGAGAGGCGGTAAAAAGCCCTAACCTAGTCACCTCTAATATCCTATTGAGAATTCTAAGAAAATTGCAGAAGTGAGGCAGTCAAAATCCCTAACCACTAATAACCCACCCTCTGCAGCGTGCTGCTGGTCGCTCTTCACCTCTTCCTGGCACCCCTCGTTCATGTCCGCCCTCAAGTGTCCAAGCCCCTGCCTTGTGCCGCCCTGGGTGCTCCCTACCCACCCTGGGTGCTCCCTACCCCCTCACCCTCTGCAGCGTGCTGCTGGTCGCTCTTCACCTCCTCACTGCACCCCTTGCTCATGTCCGCATCCCCCATGTGCTCCTGCAGACATGCCATCGCGTCCTCCTTGTCTGCTCTTGATGGCAAATGAGTGGGAAAAGAAGAAGAAGAAGAAGAAGAAGAAGAAGAAGAAGAAGAAGAAGAAGAAGAAGAAGAAGAAGAAGAAGAAGAAGAAGAAGAAGAAGAAG